TCATTTCAGGTGGAATGACTTTGTGTATTGTGATCCATTAACACTTCACTAAGACACGACCACTTCGCCAACGTTTTACGCTGAAAGCTCCGTCGGTAACGTCGTCTGAAGCTCCCAAGCGAGACTTTATTACACCTGTGTGCGCAAAGGACCAGGTGGGAGCCCCGGGGGCACAAAACGGAAATTCACGCCCGGGTTTCCAGCTGGAATCATCCCACAAAATGTAAGTGTCCCTGAACTCCTCCAGAAATTATTCTATTTTTTTTACACGCGTTTCCTGGTCCACCCTCGCCCGGGGGCACAAAACGGAAATTCACGCCCGGGTTTCCAGCTGGAATCATCCCACAAAATGTAAGTGTCCCTGAACTCCTCCAGAAATTATTCTATTTTTTTGTTTGTTCCTTCTACACCATGCACAACGTCCATCTGTTATTGGGGTCCCCTTGCTTTTGTTGTTGTTGTTTTTTTCCGACCCCTATGGCTTCTGCTGTCTTCCTGCTTCCTTATGTCCATCATCCGACTTCCTCTGTTATTTAATGTGAAATCACGTGGGGGAAGGATTCTTTGATGTAGTGTGGCAATCAACCCTGGGATTTATTGAGTCGCGAAATGCAGCACATATCAGGCAAGAAGTGAATTTGAATCAACGATGCCGCGGTTGAGTATAATAATTATTGGATAGATGTTTTTTTTTCTTCTTGTGCTTCTTCAGGCGTCGCGCTTGAATCTGAAGAGCGGTTGGTACGGATTTTCTTCCGGCTCCGAGTAGATGTCGCTGGCGTCGTCGAAAAGCCCGATTCTTGGTCGGCGGAATAGTGCGTCATGCGAGGGCGGGGGTAGTTGGAAAGGGGGCTCGGTTTTATCCTGGATTTCTGCCTCTTGCTCCATCCTCAAGGCATCCAGTTCTTTCAGCTTTAGAATAATAATTGAGAGAAAAAACATATGGGAATATATTTTATTGTAGGTTTGAATTATATTGCGCTGTGGAATATAGAAGGGGGTTGTTCAAAAGTCCGCGCGGTTTTCGGATCTAGTTCTGTTTTGGGTGCTCATCTTTTGAAAAGTCCAACACAGCATTTTTTTATCATGTTGTGGTGCCTGGTATATTTTTCATTGGGATTTTAGAAAACCTCTCCAGTTCAATAATGGATGATGAAAAATTTTAAACTTTTTGGTGAATTTTTCATATTTGCATAAATTTTGTCATTTTGAGAGAGTTAAAAAAACTCTGATGGTTAGCCAAAACTCGTGCAGTTTTCATTAGTATACCTTTAGCAGTTTGTTTTTGCTGCATCATGTGTATTTTTGGATGATTTTTTTGTTCCACTGATGAATAAAATCTCCAAGTTTCTTTCTCAGGAAGAATATTTGATTGACCCTGAAGTAAGCTAAATTTTGAGGAAATATTTTTTTTTTCAAAAAAAAGTTGCTGCAAAAATTTTATAAAAAACCATGGTATCTTAAATTGGAAAGTCTAATCAAACCCTTGGGTTTTCTAAATGTTTCTATTGCAGGAATAGTGGATTGAAGAAAAAACAAATATCTATTATCCAATTAAGCAGTATACATTTGTAATGCCATTAGGTTTGAATACTGTTTCCTAATCACTGTTATCTCTTTGTTCCTGATGATGATATTATCAGGTGCATAGAGTTACATTAATGTGATAATGTACAGTGTTATTAAAATAGAGTACTGCTGAATGATGTACCTTGACACGTATTTTGTCAATGTCCTCTCTTGTCAAAGAGGAGTTGGTTGACTTTGGAGGGGTTTGAGTCCCATGGAAAGTGAAGGTCACTCCATCCCAACTTCCTTGTCTAATGATCTGGGGGTCCTGTCTTTCTTCTGGATCTCCCTGGTGGTCAAGGGGATATATAAAAAAGCATGTTATGATGCCATAAATGTCATTGGGTTATGTTTCTGATGTGGGCTTACTTTGTGACTCACATCAACATCTTCCACTATAAAAGTCCAATTTCCAACCACAGTTTCACCCCAGAAGTGAACAGACATGAATGTCCAGTCTTTGAATCCAAGACTTGAGTTGTCATGATCTGAGGTTTCAGCTTGGAGTACAAATTCACACTGGAAGTATTATTGGAGTCTTTATAGAATGCATTTTTCAATGTCATTTCAGGTGGAATGACTTTTTGTATTGTTCAATCAATCAATCAATAAATCAATTAATGAATCTTGCTGCAACATATTCTTGTGACAAATATATATGCTGAGGTTTAAGCTTGGAGTACATATTTACACTGGAAGTATTATTTGAGTCTTCATATGATGCATTTTTCAATGTCATTTCAGGTGGAATGACTTTTTGTATTGTTCAATCAATCAATCTTGCTGCCACATATTCTTGTGACAAATATATACTTGCTCAGGTTTCAGCTTGGAGTACATATTTACACTTGAAGTACTATTTGAATCTTTATAGACTGCATTTTTCAATGTCATTTCAGGTGGAATGACTTTTTGTATTGTTCAATCAATCAATCAATCAATTAATCAATCTTGCTGCCACATATTCTTGTGACAAATATATACATGCTCAGGTTTCAGCTTGGAGTACATACTTGCACTCAAAGTATTATTTGAGTCTTCATATGATGCATTTTTCAATGTCATTTCAGGTGGAATGACTTGTTGTATTGTTCAATCAATCAATCAATCAATCAATCAATCAATCAATTAATCAATCCCTTGCTGTCACATATTCTTGTGAAAAATATATATGCTGAGGTTTCAGCTTGGAGTACATACTTACACTCAAAGTATTATTTGAGTCTTCATATGATGCATTTTTCTATGTCATTTCAGGTGGAATGACTTTTTGTATTGTTCAATCAATCAATCAATTAATCAATCTTGCTACCACATATTCTTGTGACAAATACAGTATATATGCTGAGGTTTCAGCTTGGAGTACAAATTCACACTTGAAGTATTATTTTAGTCTTCATATATAATGCATTTTTCAATGTCATTTCAGGCGAAGTGACTTTGTGTATTGTGATCTTAATTGTGAAGTGATTCTGTGCTGGTGAAGCGGTTGCAAAATGCGACTTTCGAGGCAGCCATTGCAGCAGACTTCGAGGGTTCGCTCTGAAATAATGTGGACACACGCGTTTCCTGGTCCACCCTCGNATTCTGTGCTGGTGAAGCGGTTGCAAAATGCGACTTTCGAGGCAGCCATTGCAGCAGACTTCGAGGGTTCGCTCTGAAATAATGTGGACACACGCGTTTCCTGGTCCACCCTCGCCCGGGGGCACAAAACGGAAATTCACGCCCGGGTTTCCAGCTGGAATCATCCCACAAAATGTAAGTGTCCCTGAACTCCTCCAGAAATTATTCTATTTTTTTTGTTTGTTCCTTCAACACCATGCAATCAACGTCCATCTGTTATTGGGGTCCCCTTGCTTTTTTTGTTGTTGCTTTTTTCGACCCCTATGGCTTCTGCTGTCTTCCTGCTTCCTTATGTCCATCATCCGACTTCCTCTGTTATTTGATGTGAAATCACGCGGGGGAAGGATTCTTTGATGTAGTGTGGCAATCAACCCTGGGATTTATTGAGTCGCGAAATGCAGCACATATCAGGCAAGAAGTGAAATTTGAATCAACGATGCCGCGGTTGAGTATAATAATTGTTGGATAGATGTTTTTTTTCTTCTTCTTGTGCTTCTTCAGGCGTCGCGCTTGAATCTGAAGAGCGGTTGGTACGGATTTTCTTCCGGCTCCGAGTAGATGTCGCTGGCGTCGTCGAAAAGCCCGATTCTTGGTCGGCGGAATAGTGCGTCATGCGAGGGCGGGGGTAGTTGGAAAGGGGGTTCGGTTTTATCCTGGATTTCTGCCTCTTGCTCCATCCTCAAGGCATCCAGTTCTTTCAGCTTTGGAATAATAATTGAGAGAAAAAAAAATATGGGAATCAATTTTATTTTAGGTTTGAATTATATTGCGCTGTGGAATATAAAAGGGGGTTGTTCAAAAGCCCGCGCGGTTTTTGGATCTAGTTCTGTTTTGGGTGCTTATATCTTTTGAAAAGTCCAACACACAATTTTTTTTCTCATGTTGTGGTGCCTGGTATATTTTTCATTGGGATTTTAGAAAACCTCTCCAGTTCAATAATGGATGATGAAAAATTGTACATTTTTGGTGAATTTTGTATATTTGCATCAATTTTGTCATTTATAGGAAATTTAAAAAACTCAAAGTCAAAGTTAGCCTAAAATCCTGCCGTTTTCATTAGTATACCTTTAGCAGTTTGTTTTTGCTGCATCATGTGTATTTTTGGATGATTTTTTTTGTTCCACTAATGAGTAAAATCTCCAAGTTTCTTTCTCAGGAAGAACATTTGATTGACCCTGAAGGAAGCTCAATTTTGAGGAAATCTTTTTTTTTCAAGAAAATTTGCTGCAAGAAAAATATAAAAAACCATTGTATCTTCAAATGGAAAGTCTCATCAAACCCTTGGGTTTTCTAAATGTTTCTATTGTAGGAATAGTGGATTGAAGAAAAAAACATATATCCATTATATTTAGGCACTATTTTCCAATTAAGCTGTGTACATTTGTAATATGCCATGAGGTTTGAATACTGTACAGGCATTGAAATTATAACTTGACAAATTTTTGAGCATCCAAATCCCTGTTATATCTTTGTTCCTGATGATAATGTTATCAGGTGCAAGGAGTTGCATCAATGTAATGATGAATTAAAATGTGTAATTATGTGTAATTAAAATGGAGTACTGCTGAATTTACCTTGACACGTATTTTGTCAATGTCCTCTCTTGTCAAAGAGGAGTTGGTTGCCTTTGGAGGGGTTTGAGTCCCATGGAAAGTGAAGGTCACTCCATCCCAACTTCCTTGTCTAATGATCTGGGGGTCCTGTCTTTCTTCTGGATCTCCCTGGTGGTCAAGGGGATATAGAAAAAAGCATGTTATGATGCCATAAATGTCATTGGGTTATGTTTCTGATATGGGCTTACTTTGTGACTCACATCAACATCTTCCACTATAAAAGTCCAATTTCCAACCACAGTTTCACCCCAGAAGTGAACAGACATGAATGTCCAGTCTTTGAATCCAAGACTTGAGTTGTCATGAGGCCTTGGACTCAGGATCTCAGAAACAGTTCCTGAAGTGGGTTTTTAGTACAAAAAATGATATATGGCATTTAAAATGTGGTTCTAATGAATTCAGTTTTTTGTTGTATTCAAGTACCTGAAGGTGAAATAAGAGTGACCTGCAGGGCTCCTCTCTTTGGGTACCTGATGTTGACAGTCAACTCCACATGCTCCAGAGCCCCAATGTCATTATTTTTGCATTTATCTATTCCATATGTTATGTATGCTGGTTTGTAGTTGACTATCTTCACACTGCCTGCATCTCTTTAAAAATAGAAAAATTTACTTCATTAACATAAAAAATTGAAATCCATCTTGGGAAGTATTTGATCACTTACTGGAAATGCTGTTGACATATGACTTCCTGGGGAACATTATCCCAGTTCAAGGCAGCAGTAACCATTGATTTGGCATTCATGAGTCCAAATCCATTAGACCCCAACTTGTAGTTGGGACGTCGTAACTACGAGGTAGGACTCAACAGTTTGTTCCCGAACAACAGACTACACACGTGTTGATCCACAACCTGTAGAGAGGTACAGTCGAAACCCGACCTTTCAAATGGTACCAAGCATAAAATTTTTTAGTGGGTTCCACAAAATCATTACCTCATCAGAAGATGCAATTTAGTTTAATTAACTTATTGGCATTAAAGTTTTATTTTGGTTGATATGAAAATGTTTCTCTGTTATTTGATAATATTCTTTTGAAATTAAGGGTTTTAAAGTTGTTCTCTTTGCATTTGTTTTAATGTTGATTTGTTTATTAAGTTTGAAATTGAGCTCAAGAATTGAATTTTTATTTCTTTCAACTGAGAGTTCTTTACTCTGTGCAGTTTTCTTTTGCATGGCCCATTTGCTGTTGCAGACACAAAACTGCATGCATTCATTGTATTTACTGTTGTGTGTTCCTGAAGATAATCCCATGTGAATTAGGTGCTGAGACAATATAATGACAATTTTCACCATTTAAGATTAATTAGTATGTGCTACATATATACTGGGCATATGAATAGTTTTATATGTACTGTACTGATTTTTGAATGTGTTTGTTGATTTAAGAACTTACTGCATTTGCAAATGATATTTAGAATATATGAACTCACTTAGCTTCCAAGACCAAAGCAATGATCCCAGCTGCTAAAGGAGCAGCAGCTGAAGTGCCAGTGTGATCCACAGTGCAGGAATCATGGAGATCTGTGGTAGTCTAATGTGGATAGTCATTTGAGAGTTGCAACATGTTGAGGAGGTAATGCATGTCTCAAATGAATCATGATGATTCAAACTCACTATTTTCTGGTCCTTGTAGGCTCCTGATGAGTAGGTTGCAGCCATGGTGGAGCCACATTTTTCCCCATACCAAGGAAACTTGCCTGACTGGGAGGCTGAACCCACTGCTATGGTGTAAGGTGATGAGGCATAACCATCACAGGCACATGAGTCACCTCTGTGGCCACCATTCCCTGCTGCCCATACATAGATGCTGCCTTTTCCATTCCTGCCCTGTTTGTATTTTTGGAATGCTGGTTTAGATTTGATTTGGATTATACAGTATGTAGTTTCATAAACCTAATTAAACAAGCATAAATTACTATACTAAGGAAAAAATATATGTCTCATAGTTTTGTTTGAAATTTATAGTGAATGATATACAGGTGGTGCCTTGCTATTCAACCTTCCTCAAATTGACTATCCTTCAATGGCATGGTCAAATTTGCTGGGAGGCCAACTCTCAATTCAACCTCTGCTGCACAATTTGACCTGTGGAGATACAGAAAATTGTCAAATCCAACATAGCCATGTAGAAAACATGCCATTTGGTGTTGCCTTGCAATTTAACTACTTTGCAATTCAACCATAGTCCAGCAACAGATTGGGTCAAATTGCAAGGTAACACCTCTGTAGTAATGTTTGGTTGTTTTTTGCATACATATAACATATGTCTCTATGCAGAGGTCTCCCATAGCACTAACTATAGTATCACACAGAGGTATTTAATAAATCTACCTCATCTGTGTGAGACTGTTAGTAGCTTAAGAATCATCATCCACATAATCTGAAGTTCTCTAGTATGAAAATGTATTCTGCTTGTCCTTATACATGTATATGTTTTCTACTGTTGAATCTTTAAAGTGAATTTTTATAAATTTTAAGTTGTTCTATTATTGATCATCATCCACATTATTTGAAGTTCTCTAAAATGAAAACGTATTCTGCTTGTCCTGATACATGTACTGTATATGGTTTGTACTGTTGAATCTTTAAAGTCAATTATTATAAATTTTCAGTTGCCTTATTATTGATCAGAATGTTCTGTAACTCAGCCTGCATCTTAATTATGGAATATCTTCAATACAAGAAATACTGACAGAAATGTGCATACAAGGTTAAAAACAGAACAAATATCTGATTGAAATATTTCAGATTATGCAATCACTTCATAGATGTGACAAATATTCTGCTGCATTTTTTTTTTGGTTAATTTTCTATTTGATAAAAGGAAATTAGATTTAGGACATCACCTTTGTAACACCTTTCTTGAATGCATGGTTGGTAAGTTCCCCAGGACCTTCAACTGTCCTGCCATCATCAGCTGGTCCCCAAGAGGAAGAAAATATGTCCATATTTTCCACATTGAACCCCAAGGAAGTCCCTTCTACTGCATCTGTTACTGACCCATCTAACATTCTTATACCTGGGGAAAAAAGGATACATTAGGGAATTTTTAGCTAATGGAAATATTTGTAAAAATGAAGCAGGAATGACAGAAAGTTGTGGATAATTTTAAATCTTACCCCCAATGGATGCACCATAAGCAACCCCAACTCCACACTTTTTGTTGTTGGCCACCATGGCTATTTCCCCAGCACATCTGGTACCATGCGAATTTGTGTCTATGTCATCATATCTTGGCCATGGATCATGGTCCATGTCATTGGCATCATAGCTAAGGCTAGGGTCCTGTACAAAATGATAAGGGAAAATGTACTGCTTTGAAATGAGCAACTTGAGCATTTTGTCAAACTTACATAGTTCAGGGCCAAGTCTGTGTGATTGTATTCTATCCCATCATCCAAGACAGTGATTTTCACTCCTTTTCCTGTGTATCCCATGTCATATACTGGCAAAACATGGAGGTCAAGTTCTGGCAATGAAGCATAGTTCCTTGTGTCTTGCTGTGTAACAGGAACCCATATCAAAGGAATAGAAGAAACTCCCTTCAATGTGTTTCATTGCCTTGGAGCTTGAGGATCATGTTTCAATGGAGCTCAAATGGCATTGGCCTTAACAACTAGAGTAACAGCTGCCATTTAATGGGCACAAATTATCAATAATTTGAAATAACTTTTAGTATTGGCCTCATAGATTATGAGTTTTATTGCTAGAAATCATTAAAAAATTCCATTCTAATAAAAAATTCCTCATTGAGATCATGGTTATTAACAGGGCTACCAAATGATACTTGAAAATTTAAATTTAATTTGATCATTTTTGAAAGTGGAGTTTAATTATTCTAAAAAAAAGCTCCATATAAGAGAAGACATTTGAATATGTATAGGATGTATTGAGCAGAACTCACCAAATACCATTCATGATCCCACAGTTCATCATTGAACCTTCTGTCTTTGCTTCTTCCCACTTTGTGAGAGATCTCTGAGAAAATTGCTCTCTTTCTGCGCTTGAATCTCTTGGTCCTGGTGTTGACATAAGTCAAATCATCTTCAATAAGTTCAACATCACTTGGTTTGTCTGGGATCCAGATCCCATCTCTTTTGTCTCTCCTCTTTGACACAAGCTCTTCAGCCCATAGAACCTGGGGTGGAAAATTAATCTTCATCTAGTATTCCTGGTGAGAATGGAAGGTGCTGTTCTGGTGTTTTCCTTTCCAAAACCAACCATGTCTGAGCATGATTATTTGACAATACTTTATGATTGGATTATATAGTCTACCCTTGGTTTGCTTGTTTAACTTGTTCCAAACAAGGTTTGTTGATCAAAAAATTATTGTAAAAAGAACCAATTTCCCATTAATATCAGCAAAATTCAGCAAAGCTTCCTAGCAAAAAAAGAAGTGAAACTGTCAAATAATGGATGATCCCTTAGCTGATTGAGATGCTTTGATTCCTCTTTCAAAAAGTTTTATTGAAGAGCTATTGACTATATATCTTTGAAATGCATGGTTACAAATTAGAACTTCATTTTCAAAGAATATGTGTTCTGAGTGATTTGAGGATCACAGTTCCAAGTAAAAGGTCTCTTTTCACAACATGAAGCAGAGAAAAGCAAGAAACAATTCAATCATCATTAACAAAAAAATTGCAAACTAGAGATTACTCATATTATGATGCCATGGAGGCAAACATATGCATTTCATGAATGGAAACATGGATTGTTTAAAATCATGTTTTCCTTTTCATTCCAGTGTTTCAACTAATTTTGTTTGTAAACTGAGGATTTTGTTGGACAGAAGGTTGCTTTTGGATTTTCAAAAGTTCAGCAGTTGGTTGACAAAAAGTTTTTATAAGTATGGAGGGGGTTTGTTGACAAGGGCTAAAAGCATATCATGATTGCTCAAACATATTTTATATATGATGGTGCATTTTTTTTTTATGGTTTCATATATATGAATATATATAGAGACAGTCAGATACTGGAACAGCACCTTCTTGAAAAGTGAGAGGATCTTTGGGGAATTTTTTTTCTTTTTACTTTGGAATGGTCCAACAGACTTGAAGTTGCTCTTTGGTGGAACCCTCTCTTTTGCATGCTGCTGGTGCTGGTGAGACCCATGGGTTTTCTCATGATGTAGAAATTGTCGAATCCTGGAACCTGTATAGAAGCAAGAAAAGCATGAATATGCATCTTTGAGGTTCTCTCCTGGGACCAAAAGAAGAGGCGAAGACGCATGGATATACGAATTCAGTCCTTGGCTTTGCCCAAGTGTCTGGTGAATAATTGATAGAATCCAACCCAGCGCAGAAACTGGACCCGCTTCATCCCCTCAGGATCCCAGGACACATCTTTGCCAGGGCCACGGGTTTAAAATTTCAAAGTGCATTATTGTCAGTACAAATGGCTGCCTTTTGTGCCATGCTGCTGGTGAATTTTTCATCCCCATCACCCCCTTTGATGCAAGAGCAGGAATGGAGGATTCCAATGTGTCAAAAGGAAAGGTCTGCCACATCCTCCAAATTGAGTCACCCCTGACACATTTTCTGTCAGGAGAGTAATTTTAGCATGATGGGAGTATGTGCTAGAGACAGGTTCCTATGAAGTGCTGATGTGCATATGTTTGTGGGGTATATAGAAGAATAGATACAAAGGTAGGAGCGTCCATCTTAATTCTTGCCCCACCCCTTGAAAATACATGTGTTATCTTTGTTGAGGGTCCTTAGACACCTGACAAAGAAATTGGATTTAGTGAAAGAAGTAACACAGGCAATCGGCTGTTTGCGGCCTGAGGTTGATCCTTGACTTCTGATAGTATAATTTCCGATGTAAAATATGTTTGACAATCACAGAAATAATATCTCTTGATGTGTTTGCGGTCACAAGTCTTGAACTTGAATGATGATTGTGTGGAGTCCTGAGCCTCAGGTCCATTCCTGTGGAAATGTTCCTGAAGGTTGGATTCTTGGAGGGGTGATTCAGGCTTCTTATTGATTATCATCCTTTTGAAATGGTGATTCAGTGTGTTTCATAAGAATCCTTTTGATGAGGATTCTTTTAATGTGTTATATGAAATACTTTTGGAATATTTCCTGAAGGTTTCACACCTTCATGAAATATTCCAAATTATATAAGTTTGTGTTCTTGTTTATTCCAGTTGCTTCTAAGCAACGTGGCACAACTGTGAGCAACATCTAGTCATCTTGCGGTGTGAAGTTATTTACCCAGGGCAACATCTAGTTGAACCACAACAATCTTGACTTGAGCACTTGATTATGGAAACCATCAGGGCTTCATTGGGAATTCACATGCATGCATGCATGCATGCATCTCATCTAAAGACAGGTCAGAGATTGGAAAAGGTGCATTATGTATGCATTGAGACCTGAGGTTGTGTCATGAGGCTCCTGGAACTGACAGGTCAATTCATGTGGAGATGAGGATGAGAGGGGTGTTATTCAAGCTATATATGAGAGTTTGTTTGCCTTTTGTGATGAAGTTATATGAAGGAGCATATATAGAGGGGATGATGGCTTGCAATTTGCTGTTGAGTTCCTTTTCTGACGTTTCTTCACTTTTTTTTTGTGTGTGCCTTATTCCAAGATGATTAAAATGCATTCCCTCTCAGGGGTATTGCTGGATATGCTGCATTATTGTGCTCTATCTGTGACTTGTTTATATCCATGAAAGCAAGATTGCTTTTCAGGACTGAGGGGATTATGGCTGAGGCATATTGCAGCTCCAGTCAGAATCATATAAATTCTTTCCTGGTTTTCTTCATTTATTGTGTGATGAAAAGGTTGTGAGGGCTGTAGAAGAAATCTCATAGCTAATACATTTCTCAAGTACACTATCACTACCTAAAATTAATCAAAATGTGTATAGAGGTGTGAAATGATCTTTTGACATCATATTGCCATAATTTTTCCATAAATCATATATGTAAGAAGACTTTTCAAAAATATTTTTGAAACAAAATGCAAGTCCATATCTCTGAGAGAAAATTATTCCCCTCAAAATGAAATTATGCAGCTTTTCCCCTCAATAAATAAAAATGTGTGCGTGTGAAAAATATATCATTTAATATTCTGTGGATAACTTGAAAAATTTGTTGAATGTTTTATACAAAAATGATTTAAATTTGTTCAAACTTAGCTGGATCATCATACTACACTACAATATTGAAATACAATGTGTTCATGGGTAGGTTTTGGTCTGAAATGAAAAATTGCTGAAGCAATTCCTTTCATTGTAAAATTCTAAATGGTGAAGTACAGTAAAATCTTATTTCCCAACAAATCTTTCAGCATGACAAACTTTTTTGTTCTAGTCCCAGCATAAATCCTATTGGGTCACTGTTATAAAAATCTCATTACAGTACAAGGAACACTAAATTTCACATTTAATGGTTCTTTAGACATAAATGGAATTTGGAATCATGGACGAAAATTCTTCAAAATTCATGTGAACATCCTCTCCTGAAAATTTTTCCTCAGTTTGGAAAGAAAAGGGAGGGGTTAGATGACAATAAATGAGCCCAGCAAAATTCATGTTAAGAAGGGCGCAGGACTTGTTTGGAATTTGGATGCTTGAGAAAAATACTCCTGCTGAACAACTGTAATCTTTTTTCATGGAACATCCACCATTACAAATCTGAGCAGGAAGTACCTGGAAAAACTTGAAGTCTACAAAAAGTGATATTGTTTACCATGTTATTCAGAGTGAATGTTTGTTATAGGACATTTGAATTTTTTTGAAGATCAAAATTTTTTCAACATGGAAAAGCATTTGGAAAGGCCACAAAAGGAATATCTTGAATATTAATGTGCAGGTTCAAAACTGTAAATCTCATCTCAACACATTTTTCATTATTAAAACCTTTTTCTGAAGTCCCCTGCTTGAGTTTGCTGCAACACAATTTTGCTGTATATTTAATTGCCTGGGGACAAAACAAATATCTCTGCTTACTCAGACTCCATTTCATACCTATTCAGAATTTTTTTCATCAATATGAATAAGAAACCATAATATGCATCAAGATCAAATATCACTTCCTGCCACCCCCACACTCTTTCCACCCAAGTTTCCAGAGGAACTCTTTTATTATGAAACTTCAGAAGACACATGCTTGCATGAATGAACATGAAGAAGCCCATGGTGTGTTGTGCAAATAAGCCATTACTGGAACCTGACACCTGCTACTGAGAGGCATGGGGGGAAAATAGGGAAAGATATATAGAAGCACACACACACACACACACACAAAACGTGATGTGTTTGGTTCATGTGTGGGTTGGGTCAACATCATGGACTGAGATACATGCTGTGCACGTTGCTCAAAAGGTCTTTGGGAGAATAACCCCTGGGGTTTTTCCTATAAAGAGAACTTTCATCATGCCTGATAAATATGCGCAATTCTTCTTCATTTCCATCATTTCACATCTGCACATTTTTCACAATGAGATGCATTATATAAATTTGAGCTGAGATCTCAGGTTTCAGTTGAAGTATATCTGCACAACAGTTGAAAGTTTTTCTCACTGAACATTGAAAACTTGCTTACAGAAATACTGTACATAAGGACCTGAATAAAGAGCATTTTGTTGCAACTGAAAATTCATTAAAAAGAAATGCAAATGTCCTTTTTTGGCATTTTGCAGCTGGACATTTTTTGGATGACTTTCTTTGCTCCAGAGTCTAGAAAACCAAAATCCTATGCTGCATATTTTTATAGTGAGTTTTATTGGTGTTGGGGTATTTTAGAATAAACTAACAGTACTTGCTGTGAAAAGGAAGGGCATTACTGTGCATAGAATTAAAAAATTATTATTTATGGAAATATTGAATTTGAAAATAAGTTTTCAAGTGCTTAAAAATACATTGTTTTTTTGTCTTTTTTGAATTCAGATAAGTTCCTATATAGGCATTATATATTGTGCAGAGCAAGGATTTCAAATCTGATGTTCCAAATTATTCTGAATATCATGTGTCATGGTCTGCAGAAATCTCCCAATTATGTTTCTTTTATATTAATCATGCATTTGTTCCTGAAATCAAATAATTTTCCAAGGATTTTTGTGCAAAACATGAGCTTGAAATGTTTCTTAAAGGCATGGCATGTGAAAATCATAAATAATTTTCCAGAAAAATTCTTATACTTTAGAAGAAACCTGACATTATTGGGTTTTTTCATGAAGTGCACTGAATATACTGTGTATCAAAGGAATTTTGCATTTTTAAAATTTTCAAATCACAGCAGCAGCAATATACCAGAGGTCTTCAACATTATTATCTTTTCATGAACCTTTATAATTATATTCAAAGTTTACACCAATAGAAATTTGTCAAATTTTCATAATTTTAAATGGACTTATCACATGTTTACTACCATCTGAGTACATAATCCTTATCATAATATCAGAAATTGGGAAGACAAGTATATCATGATTTGCTAAACATAAATAATTATGTTAGGATGAGATGAAGAAAAAGCATTTTTAATATGAAAGAAAATGATTCATGATTGAGCTATTTTCAAAGAAGTCAGTGATGAAGAGTTATCCAAACTTGTTCAACAGTCCAATCCCACCCCAAAGAAGGAAAGTTGGGATAGGTTTCCAATTACTCTGAGTGCATGAGCTGTGAAACTTGGAGAAGTATATAGCTGCGATTGCAAAAAAAAAAAAAGTTTTCCAGGAACATTTTCATTTCCTCAGATGACGTATTTTATTTTTTCTCATTTTATTCTTGCTTGGATGAAGATCTTTTCAAAAATCTTTGGCATGGGGGAATATTCAGATAACTTGGGGTAAAATCATTTCCCCCCCCCCCTCAAACAGTAAATGTAACAGGACCCTGTGTTGCAACATTATATATATCCCATGGGCAAAGCAGACATGAAATGAATGCGTGGGATCAACTGTGTGATGGACCCATATAGGGGTGGGGAAGGCGATATCTGTTTGGTATCCCTGTTGTCCCAGGTTTGGGAGATTATGAGGAGCATATAATGATGCCATTACATCCATATATATATATGTATATAACATCCTTGGATTGATATTGATCAAGCTGCAGTATTTTATTGCCCTCGCTGAGGCCGAAAAATATAGCTTTATTACTCTATATGTCTATTTTTTTCAAAGAAAATTGAACAAGGTATTTGCCAATTAAAATGGATTCTGATCAGCATGAAAATTTTTTTTACTAGTCCCAGCAGAAATCCTATAGGTTAAAAGTCACAAAAATCACATTTTAACACACTTTTCAGTGTCAGTAAAACACAATTTTTTATTGAACTCAGGATTCTCCTGTGGAATGTTTTTTTTTACCATATTGGGTGAGTATAGTCTCAAATACTGTATATGTTTTTTAAAGCGTTACTTGGACTATAGTTCTTGAGCTTGGATGGAGGAACCCAGGAAAAAATAATTGCTTCCCAGTTGATTCAAGATGGAAAGGTTTTTTTTTTTTTGGTGAGGGGTTCACAATATATCTTGAACCCAAAGTAAATGGGTGATACAAAGGTTGCAGGAATTGCTTCTAAGGTAGTTTTAAAAACCTATTGTTAGTGCTGATGAACTTCTAAACTAATAAACTTAAGAACTAATTTTTCTACATCTGCCCTCCATGGTGTACATGCTGGTGCTTTGCTTTTGCTTGAAAAAAAAAACACAGATAGAAAATTTCTTGTTTTTGTCTTCTAAATTTTTCCAGCACATGTTTCCTGGCACTTGTATGCGCAGTCATGAGTGTCAGCTACATGGACATGGTTAAACACAACTTTGAAATTCCTCTCCCTAGATTCATGCTTTGTTATTTTTTTGGAGTAATTTATCCCCCAATAAATGTAAAAGGAAACCCATTCAAGAATATTCACACAAAAATGCAGGAAACCGCTGATTGACTTGAATGATTCTTGTCACAAATTTTTCATTTGTTTTTCAAGTATTAAATTTGATTTGATTTCCCCCTTTGTTTCTACAGCCCATCACTGAATGGGTATATGAACAGAGCAAGGAAGAAAATCCTGAGACCTCATTTTTACAAAAGGCTCAGCATATTTCTTTATTTGCATATGTGAGAAAGTCTCAACATACCCAAAAAAGCAATAAATACAAATATTATTCAGGTGGTCAAACAGTAATAAAAAGCCTGAAAAAAATCAAGATACTTCATATATTTGCAGGTTTAGCTTGAAAAAATCCAGCAATTTTTTCAAAAATCTCCTTATAGCAAGCTATTCAGTCTAAAAAGTTTTTCTCAAGTCCCTGTGAGTTCATTATAATGGAAATTTACCTTAGAGACCCTGCTGCAACAGGAATTGCATCTATAGTGAAATGTATATAAATTTCTATGAAAAATTGAATTCCTAATCATCCCATATGACTGTCACACTATGAGATGCTGGGGATGTGATGTAGAATATCAGAATATGATTCCCCTCATGAAAGGATATTGGATGCTGAGAGAAGATAAAACAGCTGGAGATTTCCTTTCAGGACACTTATTTCTAGTTTTAAAGTCTCATGCAGGAGGTCCAGAAAGCTCCTCATCCTAGTAGCTTGCCAATAAGGTATAAAAATAAACTTGCCAGTTCTGGAAAATTGATCAGAAGATACAATATGAGGAAACATCCATAAAATATCAGTGATGGGTCACCAGATGAAAAAAAAAAGAAGCGCGTGTGACAGGGGACTGCATCTGGGCATTATGTGGATATAATCTGTCAATAGATGGGAACAAAGAAGAATAAGAAGAAGAAAAGCTTCCTCACTTGTCCCAGGTTGTCATAGCCCAGGTCTGCAGCAATGACAGCAGCTGTCAGAGGGCCCCCTTCAATCCTCACCAGCCATTTGTCTGTGTACTGGGGCCCACTGTGGCCCTGGCCCTCCAGGAACCCCTGGAAATTCTTGTACCCTCCAACTGGATTGAAATCTCTCAAGTCAATTCCATATACTGAAAGGCTGGTGCATGTCAGGACCAGCAGAGTTTTGAATGCCCTGCAGCAAATTTGCTGCTTCATGCTCTGTAATAATATATGATAATGATGAAAAACATTTTTTCCTCCCTGAACACAAATCTCTACATATACATCCCATAAAACAATCATTGGTTGAGTTATTCATTTTAAAACCAAAATGAATAGATTTCTTCATGTATAGAGTGGTCTTCATGCAAGATGCAAGTACAGCATAAAGTCTTGGAAATTAATTTTAAGGACAGGTAATATAGTATTATGAATCAAACAAATTACGGTACTTTCCTATTATCTCAGTACCCATTTTTCTTTGTCTTGTGAATTCAGTATTTGTTAGGTTAGGTTAGGTCAGGTTATGTTATGTTAATTGAAAGGTATTTGTAACTAACATAACCTGACCTAACCTAACTTCACCTAACCGCCTCCCAAAATCAGTTTCTGCTTTCTTTGGGTTTCTGCTGAAACTGATTTTGGAAGGCGGTTAGGTAATGTTAGGCTAGGTCAGGTTAAGTTAATTGAAAGATATTTGTAACTAACATAACCTGACCTAACCTAACTTTACCTAACCGCCTTCCAAAATCAGTTTCAGCAGAATGGGGAAAAATGAAATTCACAGTTTCTGGTAGGTGCACGGAAAGTAGGTACTGAGATAACAGGAAAGTACCCAAATTCTTTGGGAATTGGAATAAATCCTAATGTTTCTCCAATTTTACAACCAAGAGTGAGAATAACTGTTGAATACATTCATTGATCATCACTTACTGCTCACAGTATTTTAGAATTTTTGAGCTGTCAATATTTAAAAATTAAAAATTGAAAAATTCCACATCAAAATCCCCCAAAATAATGAAGTTATTGAAAATGTTGTCTGTACTTCAAAAAAATGTCAGAGGTTTCTGTTGAAAGGATTCTAATTATTCAGAACTTCCAAGGTCAGATGCAATTTGTTCTACTCCCAATTTTTCATCACAGATCACAGCAGTGATTCACAAACCTGCAAAAAGTTGCAGAGACAAAACTTTGATTCCAGTTTCATTTCTTTAGTTCACAACAGGAAATTTCTTTTATGATCCGAATACCCTGCAAATATAATACAGATCATGTACTGCCTTTTTTGTGAAGTGTAGCTTGTTTAAATTGAAAAAAGTTTGATGATTGTTTGGGAAAATAAATTTAATTTTATTGCAGGGCAAACTGTCATGGAAATGACTAAATGGGTGTATTCCGCCATTTTCCCCAAACTTTTCCCTCATTTTTTTGAAGCATATGCATATTTTTTTTCACCTCTAATAATCCTCAGTGTGGGAAATAATATTTATGAGTCAAGTGAATTTATTTGTAAGGAATTCATATGGTTATTTCATCCAAGTGGCATCATACACATATTTGTGTGAACATTGAAAGAAGGCTTGATTTCAAGAACTAAAATTTGCACATCATTGGAGGAAAAAAAAGAAGCAATGACACCAGTGTTCAATATATTACTGCATAAAAAAAGGCACATGTGCTATAGCAAAGTAGCCCAGAACACTTGTGCCAGTGCAGCAGCAGCAGTGTGTGCATGGCTGGGCAACAGGTTCAGCACTAAAAACACATCCCCTTTGCCCTTGCTTTCCATCAGGCCCAAAGGAAGGGGGGGGGTGTGGGAGAGGGAATGGAACTAAATAGGATCTCATCTGGAAAGAGAGTGTGTGTATATGAAAGGCTGGGCAAGGGATTGCTTTGAGGAGTTCCCTGGACACTCTGGAATAATGCCTGCAAACTTGTGATATGAGCTTGGGTAATGTGGCAGAAAAAAAGGGGGCATATTTCCCGCATTTTCCTACATGGGAACACCATTCACCCAAACAATCTTTTGTATTTTTATTTTTTCTTATTATCAATATCACTTGGCGCATTTATTCCCCCCCCCCCAACTTCTTCACACAAAATACCCCACAATAAGTGTTCAACCAAACTTAGTTTACCCATCATGAGTGAGATGCAGTGAATCACTGATGCATGACATAACTAATCCTGGCACAGTATTGTGTGAGTTGTGTTATGCTAGGCACAAAAGCAGAAAACGTTCCCTGAAAATAAAAAATTAATTTGCTCCTGACTGAAACAAAAATTTCACATCTTAACTTTCCAAAAATGTGCCTTATTTAAAATTTTGAAGATGGAAAAATCTGCTCAAATGTAAAATGTGGAAACCATTTCATCATTATTCAATTTTTCATGCTATTGAATTATTCATATTGATTTTTGGTCTTTTGGTCACCTAATATCTTGGAGCAATTTTCAAAAGTTGAAATACAGAATTTAAGAAGTTGTGTTTTATGAATGTGCATATATTTTAGTTGACCAAATGTTGATCAATATCTTCTGGAATACTGATGCCAATAATTTTTTGATGAGCATTTATTGTGTCCATCATGCAGATACTGTAAAGATGAATTCTGCTTAATTGTTAACCTAGATTATATTTTTCAGCAGGGCTTCTTGGCTGAAAATTATATTACTGTACTGTACAGGTACAATAATGCAATAATACAAGGTACTGTTTATTCAAAGCTGCTGGTTTTTTATAACTTTACATCAGAAATTGAATCATTAAAGATACATAGAAAGCATGGGTTATAAATTTTAATGTTGTCCTGTAATTCATAAAATGCTGATCATTGCCTTCTTGGAGAAGTTTCCAATGATCAATTACCCTTTCCCCTCATTGCAAGAATTGAATATATATAGTTCTGATGATAGCTTCATTGTTATTCTTGGTAAAAAAAATATTAATTCTGGATTGAAAAATACGCCCTTGGATGCAGTGTGAAGTCTCTTATTGATCATTTTTCAGATGTCATTAATGAAATATGCAAATTGAATAAGAAACCCTGTTGATGCGGTTCAAACGGAACTTTGGCTTTGATGATTTCAAAGGTGATTTGAAAACCTTTTCCTGTGATGAAGTTGAGAATTTCTGGATTGGACGTGTTGCTTTTCATGATGGTAACGTCATGGCCTATCTCCTTATCTGGGATTCATTATCACACCTCACTGCCGTTGGAACTTTTATCAGAGCTCACCCCAAAACTTTTTCCCCCTTGCATCAAAAATCTCTTTGATGTTCATATACTTCCTCGGCATTCGAATGACTCAATCCCAGCCCTTATCTCCAAGAAGAATGAGGAAAGAAAAATGAGGTGGCAGGGGAGAGAAATGCTTGAATGCACAATAAGTGCATTACAGTTATATAGTGTGCCTTGTGCTGAGTGAACATATGAAGAAGAAGGTGGATAAAGAGATGCTGGTGGATGTTGAGCTGCATTCTGAACAGGATGGACCTCAACAACACCCCAAGAAGTCAGAGACTGGCAAAGGGAGTGGATTCAGTGAGAGTCTATATATATATGCAGTGAATGTTAAGAGGCCATTCTTATTGAGAATGCTTCATGTGACATTTATTTTCCAACTCTCTTTGGGCATGGATAACAGAGCTGAATTCAATTCAGTTCTACTTGCTGAACAACAAGATGAGGACACTGTATGCCTTGACTTTGTGTCTGGTGGTTGCTGGGCTGATTCCACTGGCTGTGAATGTGTTTCAACCTGTCATGAGGCCCTTGCCTGTCAACCCTGGGCTGTGCTTCTTGCAAGAATCTTTCAGGTAAGTTTTAGGTCATCACCACATTGGAAATTTGTATGTACACAGCATCAATAAGAAAATATATACAGTAACATTAATGCCTTCCAAATTAAATTGAAAGAAGTGCTTTTTCAGTGTGAGTGTGCTCCTTGTTGGTTTTAGGGTTGTTACAAATGGTGCCTCAAAGATTGTTTTCCCTGGACAATGGCCTTTAGCATCACTGGGATTACTTCAGCTAGAAAATCCCTTGAAGTAAAATGTGCATACATAGCCCACACATATAATAGGAATTTGAAAAGAAAAATTAAAAAGCCAACTTCCAAACATTCAAGCTAAAAGCGAAATACAGTACATATCTGAAATTGTATGTGCACAAAAGAGCGTGTGCTCTTCAGTGAATGCTTGAATTGGTTTTGCATCCTCCTTATCCATACTGTACTCTTTTGTTAAATGGTGCTTTGGCTCACACCCATATTAATAAGTATTGATTTACATTTCAAACTAGTATCATAGATTTCTCTCAAACACACATCAATGAAGATTCAGACTGTGCACAGGAACAATTTGAGTTTTTATAGTTTCAGTATTTAAGGCAGCTCTGTATTCATTTTTTATCATTAGTGCCAGCAGCATGTTGTTAGTTCCAAGATTATAAGTGAAAATTCATGTATGCTGCATTTTTTCCTCCTGACCATTTAAAATTAAGCATTCCAATAATTTCCTTGTGCAGTTGGTAAGTCTATTACTGTAACAAGTTGGTGGATTGAAAATTACAGGGTGGAATGCAAGCCAGGGAGTGATCAGACAGTTGGACTGGATGCTTGTTCCTCTTTGGATTGCTGTTGGAGAGATGACAGCCAAACCAGTCTTTTTGTTCCCATCTGCTACCATAGTGTACCCTCCAAGTACACATACCTGGTGGAAAATGTACAGGGCTTTGGGAATGAAGTATTGTATGACCTGGTAACCAGATATGGGAACAAAAAGACTCCATTGGATAACCCTGCACATGTGAAGGCCCAGATTAAACTGGAACAACTGCCAATGGGCATGAATGGCACCATTAGAATATCCATTGGTCCACAACAGAAAAGGAGGAAAGGTTTCAACAGAATTTACAACTCAACTCTTGATGTGGATATCTGGGAATCTGTGATGGTGGAACCAAATATGTACTATGCTCTTGATCTAGAAAGAGCATCAACTGGTCAGCAGGAGGATACTTATCCCACATCCCAGGTTCATCATATTGTTAATTCTTATGCTTTCAGGAGAGAAACTTGTGCACTCCAACATAGGAGCGCTGGTCATCTCAGAGAACTTCATAGAAATCACACTCTCTCCTGGCACCACCAAACTTGTTGGTTTTGGTGGTGACAGTAACAGTTTCCAGCTACCAATGGACTTTGGATACCACAAAGCAGTCATGTACAACCGCAAAGAGCCAAATGACTTGATGGCATCAGTGGCAGTGCCCTTCTATATTGCTATTGAAAAGTCAGGAAAGGCTCATGGTGTGTTTTTCAATGCAAAAGCATCAGGGGATGAACTGAGTCCAGTTGGCTCAGCACCAATTGAGGTTCAATTTCTGCCCATGCCTGCCATGACCATCAGAGCTTTGTCCCCATCACTGGAAATTTTCATTTTTGAAGGCAAAGAAATATTTTGGTTATTTGAATCAAATTGTATTTTGAATTTTGCTCTTTTATCACAGGCCCCACTCCATTGGATGTGATGAAACAATACACTACACTTGTAGGGAAACCAGAGGCCTTGTCCTATTCGGCCTTTGGGTACCATATGTGCAGGGAAGTAGGGAATTTTAGTGCAGTTCAAAGCTTGTATGCTGCCATGGATGAGTCTGATTACCCCTTTGAGTCAGACTGTATTTTTTCTAAACCTTTCACCCAGTCAGCATTCAACTTTATAACATCTGAAGTGGACATAGCTGCATTGAGAGAAGCTGTGAACACTTTACACAGAAAGGAAAGGAAGTTTGTCATTCAACAGGTTCCTCATGTGGCTTCATCAGATGAAGCAGGGAATCTGATCTCCCTTGAAAAGCCAGTGTTTTTGCTCAACTCCTCCCAAGAAGTATATCATGGTAATGAATTATAATTTTACTCACAATTTTTCAGGATGTTCCTATAAAGGATGAATCTTGCAGGTACTTACAAGCGTCAGGATGTACTTTTCCCAGACCCCATTGCACCAATGGTGAATTCTTGGGCTCAAGAGGAATTTTTAAAATTAACAGTCAAGTTAGGTGCCCAAGTTGATGGCATCATTTTGACAAGCAACTCTCCACCAGATGACTCTCCATACCAGGATCCAGATCCTAAAGAAGTACCCTATTCTCCAGCTTTGTCCAATGCCCAACCAATGATGTACTACCAGGCACCATGGAATTTGATAAACAGCCAAGGGATAAAGCATTGGGGAATCCACAACAAGTATGGGTCAGATCACTTGCGAGTTGTCAAGACTGCTTTACAAGGACAAGCTCAAGAGAGACCTTTTGTGACATCAGCAAATACTTTTGCTGGGTCAGGAGGCAAAGGAGGTTTACTAGGTGAGGATTACAGAGGTGATTGGGCAGGAATGAAGAGAAGCTTGATACAGGTCCTCAAGGCTGGGATATTGGGTCAAGTTTACTCAGGTTAGTTTCATTTATTTGTCATGGATATCCTGTGAACTTTTGGGTGAAACAAATATGATTTTTTTTCTGAAGGTATTCCAATTTGTGGCGACATTGACTCTGGACAGATTGACATGGAAGACCCATTTGCATTTGGTGACTTATGTCTCAGATGGCATCAGCTGGGTTTGAACTTGCCATTGGCATACAATAATTACAAGCAAGGCGCCCAGCCAAGGAATCCTCCAGACCTGGGTACAGCCTATAAGCTGCACATGAAAGTTGCCCTGAGGCAGAGGTACAGACTTCTACCATACTTCTACTCCTTGAGCCTGGAGTCTGTACTGGACCATGGAGCCCCACTTGTGCGCCCCCTATTCTTCACATTTCCTGAGGATGAAGAAGCCTTCAAAATTGATGAGCAGTTCATGATAGGAGACTCATTGATGGCCATCCCAGCTTTATGGCCTGGGGTGGACTCTGTGTCAGCATATTTTCCTCCAGGAACCTGGGTGGACTTCTTCAATGGAGATGTGTTTGCTTCAAGTGACAATGGCACCTGGACCAGATTGTCTGTGGCTAATTCAAGGTCACCTTTGGCAATCAGGGGAGGGCATGTCATCTTTTGGCAAGAACCAGGAGCAGCATCTTCTCAATCAAGAAAAAACTTCTTCAGGTTCACAGCAGTGATTCAGAGAGGTTATGGGGCCAAGGGTCACATTCTCATAGATGATGGAAAATCTATGATTAGTGAAGCAACTTCCATTTGGAAACTGGTTGGCAGTCTTGATGTACAAGAGACAGAGTTCAATATAACTCTGGAAGGCCCACCTTGCAGCGCAATAGGAATGAATGGTCTGAACACTGCCTTTGATGGAGGAGAGATTTTTGGGCTCAAGGCAAAACCAACAGCATTCATTGATATTAACACTGGTGAAAATGTGGAATTTTTCTTCAATGCTGCCACCAATTCCCTTGAGTTTGCTGAAATTCCTCCCATGGATTTTTGCGATGGAACTCAGGGCTTTTATTTGAAATATGATTGATGAACCAGGTTTTTATACACAGACTTTATTATGAACTGAAATGCACCAATTGATTTCAGAATTCTATATTTTTTCTGTATGAATTTGGCATCAAGGCCGTGACTTGTGATTAAATTGCTTATCAGTTTGACACCTGACATAATTCCCAGGAAACATAAATTGTCTTTCATTTCTTTCTGGACCTACACACTCATAGATAAAAACTAATTTTATCAAGAAATTCAGTAGTTTTTCTCAGTCATTATACAAGACACCTTTCAAGGCTAGCAAGTAAAACTTTCAAGTTTCTAGTCACACTTTAATTGAGAGGAACTTCAGGGTTCAAAAAATGTTGGCCAAGATTGCCTTTTTGTTAGCTCTTGTGGCCTTTGCTCAGGCCATCAAGACTCCTTCCAGTGAGTAAAATGTATAAAAATGAGTGATGAGCTGTAAAAGTTCATTGTGCGAGGGCTTTTTTTGCAGAAAAACAGCAGCTGGAAAACGCCAAAAAACTTCTTGAGGTTTATTCAATGGCAGATAGGACAATTGAGGATGAAATCATGGCTCAGCTGGAGGTCTTCCAGCAGTGGATGATTGAAGGGAATCCTGAACTTGGTATCCCAGTTTTGGATCCATTTGTGGTTGACCATTTGGAATATGGGGCTGCTACTGAAGACATAACATTCAATGTTGCCATTGAGTGAGTTGAATGCTGATCTGAAAATGCCTTGAAAATCACAGAAGGAATCTTCTAGAGCAATGACTTGCTGGTATTCCTGTGATTTATTCAATTCCTATATTTTCACAGTGGAATGCATGTCACTGGATTGGCAGCATTCACTATTGCTGAACTGGATTTCAACTTGCTAATGTTGAGGATAGATGCCACCCTCAACTTCCAGGAGGTTCGTCTTTGGGCAGATAATTACTACTTGGATGGAATCATGGCTGGTTTATTGCCATTGTTTGGAGATGGTACAATTGACATCACAATTCATGACCTCAACATAACTGCTGGTGCCGCACTCACAACTGCCAATGGTATATCCCAGTTTGTGCTTTCTCAAAAAGATGCTCTTATCAGCATATAAATGTGTATAGATCTTGTGGGGATCAAGAACATTGAGCTGGATGTGAACTTTGGTGCCATCACTGGACAAATTGAGAACCTCTTGGGAGGAGACCTTGATGGAGTCATCAATGACATCCTGAACCTTTTGGGCCCAGAAATCTTTGAGTCTGTGGAAACATTGGTGAATGCTGATGTATCCATCCTGCTTGAAGAGTACATCAACTCAAATGTCCTTGTGAGAACCTTTAGGCAGTAAAATCAAATACAGTCAGATCTTTGATAAAGCCTGTTAATCAAGGGTAACATGACTTTGGATGACCTCATTGCTCTTATCACTGGAGGAAATGGATTTCATGCAGTTCCTGTCATTGATGTGACTTCACTGGAAAAGAACACAGTTCAATATGCCAGACAAGGAAATGCAAATGATTACCTAGATTCCATTCTTGCCAATGTCAGAGAGTACCTGGTTGACAATGGCTATGCCAATTACACCCTTCCTGATCAGATTGAAGGTTTCAGGTAATCAATTTCTTTTCTTTAGAAAATATCTTCATATTCTGAAAAAGCATATTTATATAGTGCTGAATGGATTGGCATTGAGTGGCATGGAGAAGCTACTTTGACAGATGGCTTTCTTGCTGGACTGCAGACCATTCATAGGGTTGAGGATGCTACCTTGTCAGTGGATGGAGAAACAGGTTGAACAAAATATGGGTACATTTGAAAATTCTGTACATGTATCTTATTGTGTGCATTCAAAATAGGCACCATCTCTCTGAATGGAGTTGTTGAGTTCTTTGACTTGGAAGCTGGTTATGCCATGTATGTTGGATTCATGGATATTGGCCTTGATGGTGAGGCAGCTGTCACCATCAGCTCCCTCAAGGTTTCTCTTGCAGTGAGTTGAAAAATTGGATTCTTTATCATGGGGAGCATTTGTTATATTATTTTTATGTCTGTTTCCAGGCCCGGCTGATTGTCAGCTCTGCTGACAGTAAGGCATTCACTGTTGTTATTGATGAGCTGAACATCAGCAATCCTGGTTTAGTTACTGTGGTTTTCCATGGACTTGGACTCCTTGACTTCTTGCTAGATGGGGTTAGAAACATTTATTTTCAAAAGAAGCATTTTCTTGTCTAACAAAAATATCTTTTCTCAGCTTGGCTTCATTGTGGCCAACATTTTTGGAGGTCTCATCCTGGATGCTGTTGAGGGTCCAATCCAAGAAGCCATTACTATTGCATTGGGAGAAATCATTCCTTCAGCATACCTCTTGTAAAATCCTCAGTGCTCTTATTCAACAGCAGTTGCAAAATAAATAAGCCTTTGACTTTATTGCTGTGGTCATCATGCTCTTTTTTTTGCTGGCATACAGTAGCTGCTTTCTTTGAGGATCCAATACAATATAAAGAAATTTCACGCAGTACTGATGGGCTATCCTTGGCACAGGTGTGCATTTCCACAAGTTATGAATTAGTAGATAAGATGTTTCAATATTTTTGACAATGTCATATCCTTGTCCAGGACTTCAACTGAAATGAAATGGATAGATAAGGGAAGGGATAGAATAATAAAAGGTGTGGGTCAACATTCAACAGTCACCACCTCAATAGTGAGCACAATAAGTTGATTCCTTCAAGTTTATTTTTTTTCTCAGTGTATTCTAGTCACATTTTTGGGAGAGAAACACTGGCTAAATATGCCTCCTTTCAACATCATTAAACTGACTATTGCTGTGCTGTTGGCAGCAGTGGCAAATGGAGGTATAAGCATTCATTTCTCATGTGAAAATGACCTCAACTGTGTATATATGTGTTTATTTTTGGTGCTTAGAGAAGGCAGAGGTTACATGGGGCCTCAGGCAAGGAAATGCTGACCTTTATCTGGATGTTGTGTTGGAGGAGATTGCAAACTACTTAACTTCTGATGGTGGAGTCATGGTTCTGCCTGACTTCAACCAGGAATTCACGTATGCTCAGATTAAGATGTGGTTTTGACTTATATTACCAATGCACTTCTCAATGAATCATGAAATTTTAGGGAAACCTTCTTGGGAATTGAGTGGCATGGGGAGGCTCAGCTGCACAATGGGACCTTGACTGGTCTTGAAGGCATGCACAGACTTGGTGATGCTTTTCTGGTTGTGGAAGGAGACAACTGTGAGTCTTTAAACTTCCAGCAAGTTTTTTGGTAACCTCAAGCTATGGATATGATCAAGTTCAATGTCTGTGTGCAATTGCACTCCTTTTCTTGCTTTGTTTTAGGTATGATGCAAAAAATTCAATTTGTGATGTGCATGCCAAGTATTTGTTAACCATATAGCAGATTTCTCAGTTTGGGATGTAATTTTGAGTTTCAATAATTGTAGAAGAAAATCAGTGCATAGTTTGTGCTGTTCATTATACATCAGAAGGCATTTTTTGTTTTAGGTGTATTTTTGGTGTTTTTTTGTATTTTCTACATTATTTTGAAACTTTCTTCAGCCACCATTTCTCTGAGTGGAGCAATTGAGTTCAAGGATATGGCAGCATTTTATGCCATGCATGTGGGCATAATGGGGATTTGGGTGGATGCAAATGCAGCAGTCTCCATCAGTTCAGTTGAAGTTGACCTCAAGGTATTTTTTTGCAGGATTTGGAATACAGAATTGAGGTTAACCTTATTGCTGTTTCTTCTTCCCAAATTCAGCTGACAGTGGTGGTAAATCCAGACACTCCAAAGTACTTCTCTATCATACTTGAGGAGCTTAGTGTTGTGAACCCTGGAGAGATCACAATTGACTTCAGTGGACTTGGTGCAATAGACTTCATCCTTGATGCTGTATGATGTTCATAATTCATTATTGGATTTTCAAAAAATTACATATAGACATATATCTCATAAATGCAATGTTACCTTTCCAGCTGGGCTCTGTGTTGGTAGATGTTTTTCAAGAGATGATCTTCAACTCTGTTGAGGCTCCCATTCAAGATGCCATCACTGCTGCTTTGGGTGATGTGAGTCTCTATCTGTCTCTCTGTAAGAAGCATTTACTTCCATAATATAATGTCTAGAATGTTGATCCAAATGCATACATGGATGAGATGCTGACCAGTGTTGCAGACCTGATCATTTCCAATGGCTGGGATAATTATCCTCTTCCTGATCAAGTCTTGGGATTCAGGTACACATATGCAGCAGAAATTAAAATGAGGAGTGAAAACATTTTTTCTGTCATAAATTATTATTTCAGTTTTGAAGACTTCATTGGTATCACATGGCATGCAGAAGCCATGCTGACGAATGGATTCATAGCAGGTCTGGAGACTATACACAGGAAAGAGAACCTGAACATATGGATTGACAAAGAGACTGGTGAAGCTGGGCTGCTTCCAGATCAAAATTTTATGTATTCTTTTGAGATGAGTTTTTAGATGCCATCAAGCTTGAGACAAAGTTGGAGTTCTTTGATTTTGAGGCAGGATATAATCTGTATGTTGGAGCCATGGGCATAGGCATTGAAACATCAACTATTGTCACCATCTCCAAAGTTGAGGTTTACCTGAGGGTAAGCTCTCTGCTGTGCTGCAGTGATCAACAATTTCATGAATAAATGTACTGTACAACATCCATTTTTCAACTGCAGACCAGTATTTTGGTGACAGATGAGCCAGTAGGAAATTCCACATCATTGACAAGAGGCATTCAGGTGTCTGTTGATGAACTTGGACTTGATAATCCCTTCTTCAGCATTTCTGTTGACTTTGATGGACTTGGACTCCTGGACCTGGTCATGGATGCTGTAAGTTCTCTATGATAACTCATGTGTAGCTCAAACTTTGAAAAAATCTAATTTGTTTGATCATAAATAAGTTTAAGTAAGTTGGTTGGGATTCATGGCTGTCAAATTTGAATTCATATGTGCTGTTTACAGAGTATTCTTTTATTGACACATGTTGGTTTTAAAGTTAGAAGAAAAATTCACAGTCTGAGTCATCAAAGTACCATAGGGACATTGATTCATTGTTTGAATTGACAGTTGTTACCTAATTCCAGAACAGTTTGAGGCAAAACTGCAATTTTTCCATGCTTTGTTCATGATGTATTCCTTTTCTTTTGCAGTTGATTTTTGTTGTTGTCAACGTCTTTGAAGAACTCATCTATTTCCTGATTGAAGGCCCAATAGCTGAAGCAATAGAGCAGACCATTGCTGACCTTCTGCCCACAAAATTGCTCATGACCATGTTGCCCTCAGCATTGCTGCTGAACTGATTGTGATGCCCTTGAGTAAACCCAGAATACTTCTTTCCAAACAGTCATTTGCAACCAAATTTTTCTTCTAATCCACAGCAAAACCACATCAAATATGTCATCATCAACAAATTGTGTAGGGAAAATGCAAAAAAGAAATAATAAATCACACAACTCCCCTCCACCTCTCAAATCAATCCAGTAAAAGGAGAAACTTGTCAGAAATTTCTGTCTTTGTGACAAACCGTTTTTTGGTTGGTGATTGTCAGAAAAAATATCCTGACAATATTGCTTCTTCTCAGAACAAGCATTGGCACAAGAGCACAAAAAAAGGTAACCAAGACAGTGTTCAGGTAACTGCATCACTTCAAAGCAAGAATTTACACAGGTTTCTCAGGCACAGTTTTGACAATGCCTAAAGCCCAAATGTCATAAGAGGGTTCTTTTAAATAAGCTCATCCTTGCTTAAAAAGATGGTGTTCCATGAGAGTAAGTACCATATGCCTTTCGAGTCCCACAGTCCCCATTGGCCAAGCACCTAGAAAGAAAGACAACAACATGCATTCATCATTCATTTTTGAAGTAAGTATTACCTATACATATAACATCATTTGCCTGTGAACAGAATTTGATGTTCAAAATGAACTGAAATCATTCCTGAATGCCCAGACTCATCCATATTTTAGCTAAGAAAAAAAAAGCCTGAAGGAGTTCAACAACAAAATCTCCAATTTTCCCTACAGGGGCTAAGATCCACAATAAGAGCTTTAAACCTATAGCTCATGTAGTTGGGCCATCCTCACAGCATATACTCACTCCTTATTTTCCAGGATGATACCAGCATTTTTTTCATAAACTTTCCCTGTGTCATTCTTCATCATGTTGCTATCAAAAACATTCTGCTCCTTGCTGGGTGCTGTTTCTGACATGCTGACCAGCTTTTTAGCAAGCTCAAGGTTCTTGCTCTTTGTGGCCTCCTCTGCTTCAATGAGGGATAAGAAATCATAGCTTGTACCAGCTGGTGGCCAGTCAACCTTAGGTCTCTCAGCAGCAGCAGTTAAGGAATCCATTTTGTATGCCTTCAGCCACTTCTGGATGTCTTTGTGAGATGTTGTGTCTCCAGAATACCAGTAGGCTGTGTTGGTCTTCTGGTTCAGGGCCACTATGTGTCCTCCTTCTTTGGTGAAGACATACACCCCTGGTGCTTCACTGTAGTATAACAATAATTAATACAAGACTGGATAGGTTGTGTCTATATTACCAAGCATTGTTGTGAAATTTATGAGGTACTTGCCTGTTTACCCAAATATATTTAACACTTCTGTCCTTTGATCTCAAAGCCATGTCTGCCAGGGTTCTTCCAGACACTCTTCTCTGTGGTTCTGTTCCAAATAGCATCACAAGGTCAGCCTGGCTTTTGTAGTATCTTGGGAGAGTTTCAGCATTAAGTTCCCCCTATCATCAAAAAAATAAACACTAAGAACTGAATTCTGAAAATGCAAATACACATATTTAGCTCACAAATATTGGCAAAGTTTGGTCTTGTAAGAAGCTAGCAACAGCATTCTTTGGTGGTAAAACAGAGGCCTTTTCCATGTGGTCCATGTATGTGTCTGCAGAGTGGGCAATGACTGCCCATGGTTCCTTCCTGTAAATGGCATGGCTATGAAAGAACTGACTGGACCTTTCAAGCTGTCATTTCTCAAACCTGGAATGCATCAGGCCAAGTGACCTCCCATATTTTGCATAGAATTCCTCGTGCCTGGCACTGGAGTTGCAGCAAATTGCCACAGGCACTTTTCCATAGAGATCATCAAGAAAGTTGAATGATTCCCTGTCAGCTGAAGGATGGATTTATGGCTTTAGAAACTGGATTCAATTTTTCATTAGGTACTGTAAGGAATACCTGAATAGAGCTGAGGATATGAGAGAACCACTGCAGATTCAACTCCAACATCAACCATGTGAGCATCAGACAGGAACTTGTCAACCTCTGCTACACTATTCAGTCTCACAGGGAAGTTCATGGCAATTCTAAAATATATTAAGAATGAGATTCCCCTCCCATTACAAAATGAAAGTTGACAAACTTACAATTTCAGTGCAGTCCTTAAAGCAGGCTTGGAAATTTGGCTGGTGTATGGCTTGAAGTCTCCATTTTTCAGAAGCTTAATGGTGGGATACTCAGTGATCATGGCCTTCTCACAAATCCTGGTCCAGTCCCAGCAATCAACCACAGCAATCAGGGGCTTTTTAGTGCCAGACATTTGTGCATATTCTGCCACCAAGTCACTCAAATACTCCTCAGTTGTTCTTGAAACTGGATCAACTGTAAACAGATTTTTTTCAATTTATGATTGCTGCAGTAGCTTTTTCAACAATTTTGAATTTTCTTTCTTTTGTATTTGATAGACAAGGTAAATTCAGTTCTCTCACATGAAACTCCAAACAGAACTATTCCAAAGGCCATTTCTGTGACATGTTTATTGTAATTTGCCTCTGTGAGCTTCACAAAAGGGTACTCTGCTGCTTGATGAGCAATGACACTCCTTGACCATCTCCAAAGGCTCCTTACTTCATCATCCTCAAGTAGAGACTCTGGCACTGAGTCATCATAGATGAACCTGAATGCTGTAACAAGGCATTGACAACACATCATACCCTTGCTGAACAAAAAAAAGGTGATCAATTTGATTGTTAAAATACCCTCAACTTCCTCTTCATCACTGACAAAATCATGAGGAAACAAAGAGTTCTGGCTCTTGTAAACATCATTGAGTCTCTTCTGGAGCAATTCTGTTCTGTTGATTGCATTGTGATTGAGCTTGTCTTCTTCCATGTGGCACTTTGGTAGCCCAGTTCCAAGCTTTTCTGTGGTTCCTTGCTGTAAGTGCAGACAATGTCAGAGTTGAACTTTCAATAAGTCAGCATGTAAAAACTCTGGAAAACCAACCATGTAGTTGACAATGTTCACAGCATCTCCTAAAGTCATATCCAATCCCTGGCCCTGGAGGTAAGCTTTGCAGCCTGCTGGAACATTAGCAAAATTCAGACCCAGTTCAAAGCAGTGACTGTTGAAATAGAGTCTCATGTCTTGACCAAGAACATCCTCCAAGAATCTTCTTATGGGCAGAATGTGCACAGTGCTGAAAATGGAGAATTATTCACAGTATTAGAATTGTTTTTTAAATGAGGGGGCAGTTGTTGGAAAACCTTGCAGTCCACATTGACAAGAAGTCCTCAACAACATGGTGCACTTTATCTGGCTTGGGCAGGGCAAACTTCCAGGTCTCAGTTGGCAGAGCACTGAAATCTTCCTCTGAAAAACAGTGCAGCATTTTAGGGAGTTTCTTGCAAATGGCCAAATAATGTACTATTTATACAGCATACCACTGGGCAACCAGCCATCATAGAAGTAGACCACTGGATGTAAGAAATTTGAGTTGTGAGCCTCCATGGCTCCACCAGTGATGGCCCTGTAAGGCCCCAGGGTGTCAACATCAGGTGCTGAGAAACCAGGACCATACTCATTGATGATCACCAAAAATTTAGACCCAGTTTGACCAGTTATGTCCAAAAAGTGGGGCAAGAGTTTCACTGGGAATTCCTCCAGCAGCAGGAAGGTGTCCCTGAATGTGCAAAGCATATTACATATTTTATTTTAAAAACAGAAATTCAATCATCATCAGACACACACACACACACTCAAGATCAATTACCCTTTGAGAATGACAACATCTCCCAGGAAGGAAACCATTTGATAAGTGCCTGGGGCCTCGTTAATCCTCTTGACCAACATGTTGAGCAGTTGCGTCACAGGGAAAGTTTTTGCGGGCCAAGGGATTCCATGGTATCTGTACTCCAGGATCTTGTGCAATGCTCTGGCTGAAAAACCGAAAAAAAAACAAAGCTCACAAATTGGCGCAAGCTTTCAAAAGGAAGTCAGACAGAGGGCTTGTATAGTAAACACGCATTAGGGTCTTAATGTTGTTTTTCTGCTCGGGGCAGTTTCATCAGCATAGACGTTTTTTTTTTGCCATAACAGAAACTGAGGAGAATCTTTTACCTCGCATTGTGCAAGGGGCTGCAGGGAATTTTTTGAATTTTGGATGATTCTTGCCCTCTTCTTTACAAATGGCTCATTTTAAATTTTTTTTTAAATTGTTTGTCTCTTGGCTGGGAATTGCGAACCCAGTTTTGGTTTGTCAATTAAAGATAAATTTAGTCAATTTTGATTTGCGGTTGATTTGGAACAAAATGAAGGTGAGTGCAGATAATATGATGCTCTCCAATCACTGAAAATTACACAAAAAAAAATGTAAGTCCTTGATGCTGTTTTGTAATTTAAAGAAATAATTCTCATCATCTGGTCTGGAATGAAGAATGCAGTAATATTTTATGCTTGATTGCTGATTTGCTACTGTATTACAGTGCTGTTTGGTTACAAAAGTGCACTTTGATGTCAAATTGGAATTTCTTCCATTTTGAAAAGTCAAAATTTTCAGTATACTGTGTACTGTACTACGATTTTATGTGAAAATAATATAAATGATGGTCAATTAGGAACATGACATGCCTTAATGTGGGTTCAGTAATTGCCTTATGTTCTAATTTTTATTACTTGAATTTTTTTATTGGGGAGAGGCAGAAAGTGTTTGCATTTACATCAGTTGTGCAAGTGTACATTTTGGTATATGGTTTTTCTTTTCTTTTAATATCCATATACAGCTTATTTCTCTTTTTTCCATCCATGATTGGGCAATAATGAAAATTACACTAAAAATGTAAGTCCTTGATGCTGTTTTCTAATTTAAAGAGGATTCTTATCATCTGGTCTGGACTCTGGAATAAGGAAAGCAATAATATTTTGGCTGAAGTTTATTGATTTTTGGTGTGCTACTGTATTATACAGGTAATTGGTTACAAAAGTGTACTTTGATGTAAAATTTAATTAATTTATTTATTTTGTAAAGTCAAAATTTTCATTATACTGCACTGCACTATGATTTTATGTGAAAATAATATGAATGATGGTCAAGGAGTATGACATGCTTTAATTTGGTTTTAGTAATTGCCTTTTAATATTCATATGCAGCTTATTTCTCTTTTTTCCATCCATGAATGAGTAATAATGAATCACTCTTCATGATTGAGTAATAATGATAATTACACTAAAAATATGAGTCCTTGATGCTGTTTTGTAATTTGAAGAAATAATTCTTATCTTCTGGTCTGGAATGAAGAATGCAGTAATATTTTGGCTGAAGTTTATGCTGGATTGCTGATGTGCTACTGTATTACAGCTGTTTGCTTCCAAAAGTACACTTTGATGTCAAACTGAATTTTTTTTCCATATTGCAAAGTCAAAATTATACTCAACTGTACTATGAATTTACGTGAAAATAATATAAATGATGGTCAATATAATGAACATGACATGGTTTAATGTGGGTTCAGTAATTGCCTTATGTTTTAATTTTTATTACTTGAATTTTTCATTGGGGAGAGGCAGAAAGTGTATGCATTTACATGAGTTATTGTGCAATTGTAAATTTTTGTATATGTATTTTGTTTTCTTCTAATATCCATATACAGCTTATTTCTCTCTTTTCCAACCTGATGTGATGGAATGTTTTAATTTGTTTGAATATGGGTAGGGATGAAGGGAGGGGTTTTGTATGTGTGAACAATTTCTTGAACCTTGTGAACACTGAAAAGCAGAAAATAAATCTTGATGATGAATCAATATGGTTTGCTGATCTCAACTATATAATGGCTTTGTTGTAACCAGATTTAGCTGAGTATGTGAATCTCTGCTCAAGTCTTTCATCCCTATATAATATACACCCAACAGCCATCTTATTTACGCATTCCGCGTCGTCTTTGTCTCATTTCCTTTATTCCTTGAGCGCTTTCGGCTGCCCCCCCGAAAAAGTTCTTGTTTCATTTATTGCTTGCTGTGTGTGTGTGTTCTTCCGTGACTCATCCTCCACCTTGTTCTTGCCCAGCATCCGGGAAATGAGGCAACTTTTTTTTTTTTTTTTTTTGAATGTGTGCGCGTCGCCGCAGCCGGCGTGTGTGTAGAAAGTTTTTGCGGCGCACATCAGCAGCAGCAGCAGAGAAGCGGAAATTCCTTTTTCGCAACACTCGTGTCTTTGAAGACAGAGAATTTTCTTCTCTTTTTTCCACGAAGAGCTGGAAGACAATTTAGGTACCATCACTTCATTAGAGAAGATGAGGCGCAATCAGATGGGTGTTGGGTGCAAACTGTGTTATTGGGGAAAGACTTGAGCATCAGAGATTCACACATGTACAGTAAAATCTATAGTTACAACAAAACCATTTTAATTGTGAACTGAAATTGTTAATTTTTCAACATAAACAAAATTGTTGCAAAGGAACTATTTTAATGTTGTGGATTATTGGACAGTGACCTGAATCATGAATTTGTAATTGATTTTTCATTATCATGAGATTTGTTGTAACAGGATTTTTATTGCATATACTGTATATAAGATTTTTATTGTACTGGATGTATAAGATGTTTATTGTATATATATATAAGATCTTTATTGCATAAATTGTATATGAGATTTTCATTGTACTGTATATATAAGATTTCTATTGTATATATATAAGATTTTCATTGTACTGTATATATAATATTTTTATTGTATATATATAAGATTTTTATTGCATATACTGTACATAAGATTTTCATTGTACTGTACATATAAGATTTTTATTGTATATATATATATATATATAAGATTTTTATTACATATACTGTATATAAGATTTTCATTGTACTGCATATATAAGATTTGTATTGTATATAAATAAGATTTTTATTGCATATACTGTATATAAGATTTTCATTGTACTGTATATATAAGATTTTTATTGTATATATAAGATTTTTATTGCATATATATATATATATATATATATATATATTATATACAAGGGTTCTAACAAAAGTTCTTGGAGTAGCAATGAAAATGGCTTACAGTTGAGCTGAAAAAAATTTATTCTCTAGGGAAAACCTATTTTTGGCGCACAAAAAATATCAGCCGTGTTTGACAAATTTTTTAGCATTTTTTTCATAATTCTTCTGGCATAGTTTTTCTCTCCACTCAAAAGATGAGGCGCCCTTTTTATTTTTTAGCCCTGCTTTCCCTTCAGAATTTTTGAAATCAAATTTTTGAATTCTTTCCAAGGGTTGCCTCCAGGTCATCCAAGGCAATCCCGCCATTTTCATCAATAGCCGCCTTCACAGCCGCCAAAGTGGCGGCTGTGAAGGCGGCTATTTGTTGTTTGGTTTCCAAGTGAAAATACGTATGCACAGTAATGATGAAAAGAGCCGAAATTTGAAACAACTCTGGGTCATGCTCTTCGTCAGAAATCATCTGCCGTGAATATATTTAATCTTTGATTTCAGGTTAGATTTGCTGGTGTCTTCATCATTATCCTGTTTGCTCATGCGTCGACATTTTTTGGGAGGATACTTTTGCCTTGAGATTCCCTCGCTTATTGCGTTTCATGTCATTTTTGAGAGTCGAATTTGAGTTTTCATTTTTTTGTGAGAAAAGCTTTCAAAAAGCAAGAAAAATAGTATTCATGAAAATATCATTTCACAACATTTTAATTTCATATATATATATACATATATATTATATACAAGGGTTCTAACAAAAGTTCTTGGAGTAGCAATGAAAATGGCTTACAGTTGTGCTGAAAAAAATTTATTCTCTTGGGAAAACCTATTTTTTGGCGCACAAAAAAATATCAGCCGTGTTTGACAAATCTTTTTGCATTTTTTTTCATAATTCACCCTGGCATAGTTTTTCTCTCCACTCAAAAGATGAGGCGCCCTTTTTAATTTTTTAGCCCTGCTTTCCCCTCAGAATTTTTGAAATCAACTTTTTGAATTCTTTCTAAGGGTTGCCGCCAGGTCATCCAAGGCAATCCCGCCATTTTCATCAATAGCCGCCAAAGTGGCGGCTGTGCGGCGGCTATTTGTTGTTTGGTTTCAAGTGAGAATACGTATGCACAGCAATGATGAAAAGCGCCGAAATTTGAAACAACTCTGGGTCATGCTCTTCGTCAGAAATCATCTGCCGTGAATACATTTAATCTTTGATTCCAGGTTAGATTTGCTGGTGTCTTCATCATTATCCTGTTTGCTCATGCGTCGACATTTTTTGGGAGGATAATTTTGCCTTGAGATTCCCTTGCTTATTGCGTTTCATGTCATTTTTGAGAGTCGAATTTGAGTTTTCATTTTTTTGTGAGAAAAGCTTTCAAAAAGCAAGAAAAATAGTATTCATGAAAATATCATTTCACAACATTTTAATTTCATAACATTTACAGATGATTTACTGAATGTGATGGAGACTAACAAACAGCGCGTCACATTTTGGATACCTCAGCATATATATATATATATATATATATATATGTATATTATAAGTGAAACCCCAAGATGCGGACGTTATTGGTGCATTAAGAGTGTCCCCAAGTCAAAATGTCTCTAAGTCATCTAGTTTTCCCATAGACTTACATTATATAATTTTTTATTGGTGTTTTATGGAAGAAATATTCTTCAGAATTCCCTGAAAAAAAATGTTTGCCACTTGAATTTGAATTAGTGAATACATTTTTCCTTTTCTTTTTTTTTTTTTTTTTTTTTTTTTTTGGTTTTTTGAACCGTGTCGTTCATAAATTGGTGATTATAGATTCCGCCTTCTGCGAGACAGGCGAGAAACCACGCTGCTGAACAGATTATTATTATTTTTTTCGTTTTGGATATTCAAGAGACAATTTGGACAATTTAGACTCAAGTGTTCCTAAACCTTTTCGGGCCCACAGACCAGCAAATAGAAAATAAAAAAGAATTTCGCAGACTGGCAAATTTTCAAAAAAAATGTTTGGCAAAGTTTTGCATACTCAAAATTAATTTTGCCTGAAATAGTTTATAGCAGGCATTGAAAAATGTTCACAGATAATAAATATTTTCTTATTTTTGAAAAAAATTAAATTGAGAACCAATATATGAAGCAGGTTTACAGTGGAATGTCTTTAAAAAAATTAGAAAGGTGGGCTTGAACAAAAATTCAGCAGAAATAAAAATTATAATAATTTATTTCATCAGGTGAAAATTTGTCTGGTATTATTATTATAGGAGAATAAAGCCAACTTTAATTTTTCATGAAAAAATTTGAACATAAATTGTCTTTCAAAAATTGCAGATAAAGATACTGTTATGTCCTTCATTGATAGTTTTGATAAAGTGTTATTATATGCTTGAGAATATTTCCTTCAGACTTGCAGAAGGAATGTTTTTTTTTTTGTATTCAGCATAATACATTTTTAAAAAGTAGTTATGAAAAGTCTGTTATCTTCATCTGAAACCTTGGGGAAGGCAATTGTAGTTTGAATTTTCTTATGAAAAATAGAAGTTGCCTTTTTTTCTATAATAATCCTACAGACAAAATTTCACCTGCTTAAATAAATGATTCAAATTTTTGTCATTCTGAGAAACTTTTCTTTATAGAAGCCTACCTTTCTGATTTTTTTTGAAAACGTTCCATTATATCTGCTTCACATGTTCTTGATTTGATAGTTTAAAAAAATTGAATATCTGCCATGAAAACTTTCAGACAAATCTTTTTGAGTCTTGAAAAATTTTATGAAATTTTGTCAGTCTGCAGAATATTATGGTATCTTCTTCTGAAATTTGGGGAAGACTGTATGGTAGTTTGAATTATCTTATGAAAAATAAAATTAGACTTCTTTGCTAATAATGCTTCAGACAAATTTTTACCTGCGGAAATAAATTATTTGAAATTTTTTTTTCTGAGAAACGTTTCTTTATAAGCCTACCTTTCTAATTTTTTCAAGGACATTCCATTTTATCTGCTTCATTTGTTCTTGACTTGATTAAAAAAAAAAAAGGAACTCATGAATATCTGCCATAAAAGCTTTCAAACAAAACTTTTTGAGTCTGCAAAAATTGTATGAAAATTCTTTTGGGAATTTAACTAAACTGCAAAAAATGTTATGGAAATTCGCTGGTCTGCGGGACCTTTTTTACTTTTTCGAAACATATCTTATTTTTAGGTCTTTTTTATTTTAACATAAATTTTATGTGTAACCAATGCATGTATGGAAACAGAAACTGATTCTTTTTACTGAGCTTTTAAAATTCGGCATTTTCATAATCATAATTGTCCATAACTGAATTAGAATTAATTTACTTGGACGAAGGGCAAAGATATGAACTTGATATAGGCTTTTTCATATGGAGAGAAATCGAGTCCAGTTCACCCTCACTTGGTTCATTTTCTCCTTCAGTACAATTCAAGCGGAAAATTGCCCCGCATTCAATTTAATTTATGTTTTGTTTTGTATTTTTGAGTGATGATGCGCAATCCGAGGAGGCGGAAAACAATATGAGGAGGAGAGAAAATGAAGATGGAAATTCTTTGTTTATGTGTATATGTGATATCTTCATTCCTTTTTTATTTTATCTTGTTCTTTACTTGGACGGACCTGCAAGAATCGTGACTATATATATATATTTGTATTAAATGAATATATGTTGAAGGAGGGGAGAGTATTCAGGTCAGTGCCCCACAGAGCCCAAGTGAGTTCCGCTAGCCTCTCCGCGGGGAAGGACGCGTTTTGAGCCTGTATATATACTGTATATGGTGTCTGTGGGGCGCATTATCATATGGCAGTGTTACTTTCCCTGGATGTCCATTCTGTGGGACAATTTTTTGTTATTGTTTTTTTTCAGTTACTCTCTCTCTCTCCATTGATTTTGGCTGTTCAGGAATTTATCTCTGAACAGTATGACAAATATTTTTTAAAGTTTCATAGGGTATACATCTCCCAATGTATGAACAGTATGACAAATATTTTTTTTAAGTTTCATAGGGTATACATCTCCCAATGTATGAACAGTATGACAAATATTTTTTTAAGTTTCATAGGGTATACATCTCCCAATGTATGAACAGTATGACAAATATTTTTTTTAAGTTTCATAGGGTATACATCTCTCAATGTATGAACAGTATGACAAATATTTTTTTTAAGTCTCATAGGGTATACATCTCCCAATGTTACATCTCCCAATGTTATGTGTCCTCTACAGCGAAATTCTCTCTAAAAATAAATTTCTGGTAGACTGAATTTTGTTCTATAGAGTATGTAGAGAAACTCCTCCTGTATAACTATTTTTTTGCATAGGGTTCTCTAATCATTGTATGTGGGTTCTCTACAACATTATTCTCTTCAGATTCTTTTCTCTTTCCAACATTATTTTTCTAGTCCTTTGAATTTTATTTTAGAGAGAGAGAGAGAGAGAGTCCACATGTACTGTAGAATTATTATTATTTTTTGCAAATGGATCTCCATTCATTTTATATGGGTTCTCTGCAATATAGAACACAATTATCTTCAGATTCTCTTCTCTTCTTCTCTTTGCAGATTTTTTTCTGGTCCCTTGAATTTTGTTTTGGGGGAGAGTCCACCTTTGCAAAAAATTTTTTTGAATTTAGTTATCCACCCATTTTATATATTGGTTCTCTGCAAACAAAATTATTTTCAGATCCTCCCCTCTTATTCTTTCTTTTCCAGGACTTTTGAATAATTTCTCAAACAAAATCTGGCAATTAGACAAATACTGCAATCCTCTATTATAATTAACCTTCAACTCCTATACTCATGGTTCAAACAAGATAATAAATTACAATTAAGCATCTGAAATATGTTCTGTCTCCAGAATTTGTTTCTCCAAGCTTTTGTACTGACACTCAGTTAAAAGAATCAGGATGGCAAGACAGGTGAATGCATAAGCACTTTTTTTTCCCCTGGCCATATGGCATCCTTGACTACCCAGTGGTTGCAGGGAGCAGCATGGAGGAGAGGAACTGAAGCAGAAATCCATTTAATTTTCCTTGGGACATTCTGAATCTCTGCTGTGGCCATGCAGAGACCATGTGATTAACCTACTTATGGAAGTAGGAAATGGGCCTTTTCAGTTATGGCACACCCATTTTCAGTTCAATCAGTGGTTTCTTTTTTGTTGTTGCTTTTGTCTGAAAGATGTGTGTCCTTGAGGCACAGAGACTGTCAATGCCAAATACTGTACTTTCCTTATCATATCTGATATGGTCAGTGAGTGCACAATGTCATCATCAGACTCACCAGTGTATCTGAAGCCATGAATGAAGCCACCAGCTGCTTTCCTGAAGTCCACAGAGTGGGAATTGGTGCCAGCAAAGTACAAGTCTCTGGTCACCCATGACTGATAATCATACCTAATGGCTGGGTATTTTGGGGCTTTTCCAAATGGAATCTGCTGAGAGTCTCTGTGTATTTTCAAAACAAAAATCCATATCAAAATACTGTATATATGCATTGAGCATTCATTTTTCTCATCCTGACTTACTCATGCAGGAAGGATCCATCAAACTTCCATCCCAAACAGCTGATGACATGGTCATAGGGTGACCTGAATGGAAAATTGGCAAAGTTGTCCTCACTCTGGGGTTTAACCCTGGGGTACAGGCTGGTGTCATTGTACTTGTCACCCCAGTTGACTGCTGCATATAGGCGGCCATTTTTCTTTGACAATGTCAATCTGTTCACATCAAACTCCAACAGACCATCCAAGGACTTGAGCTGGTAGGTGTCCACTATGGCATTATTAAGTCCTCTGAAGAGAAAAATGTAGGTCTTATGGTTAAAAGTGAGGAGTTTTGAAACACGATGACAGTCAATTGACCCACCTTACATCCCCAACATAGTGGGTATTCCAGCTCAGCTTGACTCTGGTCCTGGATACCATGTGCACAAAGTTGGCAACCTTGTACAATTCATCAGCAGTTTCAAAAGCAGAGTTGCCTGTCATCATGATGATATCCTTGAAAATAGTTTCTTTCCCTCAAAGAAATGGGAAGGAAAAAAATAAAAGAAACAAACCTCTTCCAAGGATGAGGATAGTTTTCCCCCAGTACTTTTGTGGGTCAGTGTCAAACTCAGAGTAGTTCTCCACATACTCAGATCCCTTGAAGGACACCATGTTGCTTTTCTGCATTCCACTTGCTACAATGGCTACCCTGTGTTTTGTGTGAGGGAATGATGGTGGTGGGGATTATTCATTTTTCTGGTTGAGCCATGGGCTTCTTTTGTTATGCACAATGACACAGCAAAAAAATTCTCACTTGCACAACATGGTCTTCCCCTCTTGGTCATTCATGATGAAGTTGTACCCATCAGTCCTCTCTCCATTGGCAACCCTGCGCATGTTTTTCACTTCTGTGTTGAACTGGACTTTGATCCCCAGCTTTTTCCTGTAGTCCTCAAGGTAGTCCAATAGAGGTTCAGTCTTTTTTATAGGAGGAGGAGGAGGGGAAGAAGGGGTTTTGGTTGTTTCATTAATTTTGCTTCTTTTTTTTTGAAACTTGGATTTAACTCACTGGTGGGAAGAATTCTTTGGAGTAGTGCTTGAACAGCAAAGAGTCATCATCAGACAGTAAAGAGTTCCAGTCATGCCTTTCATTGTACAAATGATTGGTTCTCCCAGTGGATATTTTATTGATGCTGATGAGCTTCCTGTGTCTGGGGTATTTAGCAAAGAAGCTCCCTATATAAAGAAGAAAAAAAAATTTATGTACAGTATTTTTAGTGCATAACTGAACTGAAGTGATGCTCTTCTTTGCAATTGGCAGTTATTGTATACCATACCTGAAACATTGTTGCGCTCATAAATAATGTAGTCCCTGCCAGCACGTTCCATGAAGTAGCCAAGTTGCAGACCTGCTGGTCCTGCACCAATTATGCAGTAATCATGAGTCTGGATGTTGTTGTTGGTCTTGTCAGCTTGGTCTTGTGACATGCAGAGGCCCCCTGACACCAGGATGAGCACAACAGTTCCCAGCACATGCATTGTTGGTCCTTTTCCTGGAAAATTAGTGGAACACAAAATATAAATCTTTGACCTGATACTTTGAATTTTATGACAAATTTATAACATCAGGTCCAATGGAAGTCATTGCAGAATGTTGTTGAAATGTATATACTGGAATTAATTATGTAGGCATTTTTGTATCAAATTATTGCAAGTTGTTCCCACCAAGGTTTAAATTTGAGTAAAAACTTTCTTCAAGAGTAGGAAACTTGGAGTTTTTTTCCTTCTTAAAGAGAATGGAAATAAAAAAATGTAGTAGATTAAAAAATTAATCTAAAAAACCACGTTTTCAATCTAAGCTATCCTGAAAGTTTCAGCTTGCTAGCTAGTTGGGAAGTGAGCGAAATTTGAGTTGCAAAATTTGATCCGGACAAACAAACGGACAAGAAAGCAAGTTAATAAAAACGTGTTGAAATGATGTGTAGAACATAACTGAGCAAGAAAATGTGTCTCAACACCAACAGAAACACAGTGACTTCAATTTAAAAATCACTGCAGAAATTCATTTCTTCTATTAACTTTTGAGATTTTTCATAAAATCTAAATTAGAAGCATCTGCTCCATTCATAGTTGATGCAGTATTATATTGAAATGTATGCAAAAATTAATTATGCAGGCATTTGTGTATTAAATTATTTCAAGTAGTCCTCACCAATGTGTAAATTTGAGTAAAAAATTTCAAGAGTAGGAAATTTAGAATTTTATTTTTCAGTTAAATTATCTTTGAAGAAAACAACAATAGAGTGTAGAACATAATTGAGCAAGAAAATGTGTCACAAAACTAGGAACACCTTCACTTCAATACAAAAATGACTGCTGATCATTTTTTTCAATTTAAGTTTCAGATTTGTCATAAAATCCAAATTATAAGCATCAGCTCCATTGGAATTCATTGCAGTATTTTGTTGAAATGTATACTGAAATTAATTATGTATGCATTTATACATTGAATTGTTCCAAGTAGTCCCCACCATAAGGTGTACATTTGAGTAAAAACTTTCTTCAAAATAGAGTAATAAATTTTGAGTTTTATTTTTTTATTTCATTCTCTTCAAGGAAAACAACAATTTTTAGAACATAATTGAGCAATAAAATGTTTTCCAACACCTGAAGAAACACAGTCACTTAAATTTAGAAATTACTGCAGAAATTAATTTCCTTGAAATGAACTCCAGGATTACCTATTACCAAAATTTAACTCTAGATTAAAAAAAAAACTTTTTTCAAAATAAGGAAAATCATATATTTTCCCCAGTAATATGAAGCAAAATAGTGAAGCTCTATACATAGTCCTTTTGTGTCAGTTAAAACTTCAAACTATTGAAAGGTATTCTTAGTACTGTATGGAGATTGTTCCTGATAAGTTCTTCCTGAGAAAACTTGAGAGAAAAGGAGTGTATTGTATTTTTGTCCTTTGTCCAAGTAACTGTTCCTTCCTAAGTAACTTTTCAAAGAGCATTCGTTTCATATATATACATTATAATATACATAGTTTCTATATGATTATATAGATTATATATCTTCAAAAATTATGTATATATATATTTTTTGGTATAGTGTATACATTATAATATACATTATGTATGTATAAACCGTATTTTATATATACTCAAATTATATATATATATATTTTTTTTAAATAGGATATTTCAACATAAAATCATTATATAGCTCAAACGCGTGGAATAACTTTTCAAAGAGCATTCGTTCCACCTCAATTTTACTGTCGGCCTTTTTCAACTAAATTCACGGTACTTGGGGATATCTAAGTCGAATCGATTTTAGAGAATTTTTCATGTACTGTACATATTTTCTAAAAATGTTTTCCTCGGTTGATTATGAACAGTATAATCAACAAGTTGAACGACATTTTAAAGCGTTCGTTTCACCTCGATATAAAATGCTAGTCCGCATTTTTGAAATAAAATTATTTCTTTGGTGTTTTTTTTTCAAGTAAATTCGAATCCAGAGATTGTTTTATCTATATATACAGTAATTTTAATAGAATTGGTTTCCTCGATTAATTTTGAGCTATCATCAGCGCGTGGAACATTTTTAAGCGCTCCTTTCACCTCAATACAGTCCGCATTTTTTTTTAATGAACTTCTTTATTGTTTGAGGTTTTTTAAAAAGTCAAAATGAATTCCGAGACTTTTTCATCTGCATATTAGTTTGAAAGAAAATGCTTATCGGTGATGATTACTGTGTATTTAGCTAATCAACGCGTGGAATGGGATTTAAAATAGTTTGTTTCACCCCGATTCCGATACGCATCTTTATTAATTAAACTCCATGCCTTTTATTTTCTGCTGGTGGACTCAAATTAATTTCCTGTTTCTCCATGCATTTAAGCGATAATGCGAATCATTGTGAAGCGGTGTTGTTGGAGAAAAAGGTCGAAGCCCGATTTTGGTCACCCATCAATTGTTCCAGTGCCTTTCTAATTTGCATACAATGGAGTGTCATGTCAGCCACGAGCAGAGGGTACATAAAAATCCAGTGAGAAAAAAATAGTGTTGACCATTTTAAACAGTATAGAGCAGTACCACAAACGAACGTTAAAAAAAATTCTTGGAAGCTGAGTTTTCAGTTATCATATCATTATCTGTATAAGGAAATTGGCTAATGGGACCTCGACATACGGACACATCTACCTGCGAACAATTCGACAGAGGGACACTAATTTTCCCATTTAAAAACATTATTGGAAAGACTCAACATGAGGACACTGACTCGGTATAGGGACATTTTGTGATAAAATTGTAAATACATTTCAGGCCAAATTACAAGAATCAGATATTTCCAACCCTAAAATTGATGTTAGAAAAGTTCTTGGGCATTTCTCTCACCAATTTACCATCCATTTCCCTACTTGTCTAATTTGATGAAGTTGCTACCACTTCTCAAGGTTCTTGGCGTGCTCAATTCCCTTCCATATCCCCTAACAGAATTTAAACATTTTCACTTTAGCTCCTTGCCAATTTTTTTCTCATCTGTGTGCACAAAAATGTTCTTGAAAATTAACTTTTTTCAATTATTAATGGTGAAAATTGATCAAGCTGAAAATCAAGAAGTGAAAATTCTCCCCCCCCCTTGATTTTTGCAATTTTTTCAAAAATGTTTTTGTGTTTTTGTCTATAGCTCATTCAATTTCGAAGTTTTTTCAAAATTGCAAATAGTGAGATTTAGAAAACATCTGGGCGCTTGCAATCACATTGCCAGGTGTGGCTGGGCACCCTACTTGTCTAATTTGATGAAGTTGCTACCACTTCTCAAGGTTCTTGGTGTGCTCAATTCCCTTCCACATCCCCTAACAGAATTTAAACATTTTCACTTTATCTCCTTGCCAATTTTTTTCTCATGATTCCAACTTGAAATTTTTGACAGAGCTGTGTGCACAAAGATGTTCTTGAAAATTAACTTTTTTCAATTAGTAATGGTGAAAATTGATCAAGCTGAAAATCAAGAAGTAAAAATCCCCCCCCCTTCATTTATTTCAAAAATGTTTTTGTGTTTTTGTCTATAGCTCATTCAATTTCAAAGTTTTTTCAAAATTGCAAATAGTGAGATTTAGAAAACATCTGGGCGCTTGCAACATTGGAAGAAATTTGAAAATTGAGTTGAAATTGAATTTTAAACAGATTTTGTAAGTTGGCAAAACAGGAAGAAATGCATATCCAGGAATTCAAACTTTTCTGTTTAGCTCATTCTAACTTTTAGGATTCTGATGCAATTTCAAATTTTTTGGCAGGGTTACATGCGCACAGATGTTTTACGATTTTACATATTTTTATGTCTGAAAAATGTTGAAAATTGAATTAGTAAAAATTATAAATACAAAATCTTTTTTCCCAATTTTCATACAATTTTTGTAAATGTTTTTGTGTTTTTGATTCTATCTCATGCAATTTTGAAGTTTTTCAACCATTTCAAAGAAGGAAATGTTGAAAACTTCACTGCGCACATAACCCTTGAAACAATTTGGAAATTGCTGAATAATTAAAAATTTGAATTTTTGTAAATGTTTTTGTGTTTTTGATTCTATCTCATGCAATTTTGAAGTTTTTCAACCATTTCAAAGAAGGAAATGTTGAAAACTTCACTGCGCACATAACCCTTGAAACAATTCGGAAATTGTAGCTCATTCTAACTTTTAGGATTCTGATGCAATTTCAAAATTTTTGGCAGGGTTACATGCGCACATATGTTTTACGATTTTACATATTTTTATGTCTGAAAAATGTTGAAAATTGAATGAGTAAAAATTATAAATACAAAATCTTTTTTCCCAATTTTCATACAATTTTTGTAAATGTTTTTGCATTTTTGATTCTATCTCATGCAATTTTGAAGTTTTTCAACCATTTCAAAAAAGGAAATGTTGAAAACTTCATTGTGCACATAACCCTTGAAACAATTTGGAAATTGCTGAATAATTAAAAATTTGACAAATTTTTAAAGTTAGCAAAACAGGAAACGGAATTTTCAAAAATGTCTGTTTTTTTCAGTTTAGCTCATGATAACTTTTTTGTTATTAGTGGAATGTTAATAATATTTTAGGGGTGATTGCGCATAGATGTTTTTTGAATTTAGGTATTTTTTTCATTGAGCAAAACTAAAAACTTGAAAAGCTAAAATTAAAAATATAAAAGTATTTTTTTCCCTTTTCATCCCCGTTTTTGAAAAACTTTTTGCGTTTTTCATTGTAACTTTGTCAATTTTGGAGCTTTTTTAAAATTTGAAAAAGGGAAAGACAGCAAACATCTTGGCGCTTCTTTTAAAGTTTTAAAAAGTGCATTTTATTGAAAATTAAATTTTTAGCAAATTTTGAAAGTTGATATGCCAGGAAACGCGACCCTCCTGCAGGCCTGTCTGGGGCTGGGTGGGAGTGAGGATAGGGGGCAAAAGGAAAGGGAGCGCCTGTGAAAATTAAAAAAATGCTGCGAACACCGGACGGCAAGCAACTTTATTATAGTAGATTCAGTCAAAACACACTTTTATATAGTTTCAAACCTCCTTTTTTTTTAAACGGTCAAACCTTTTTTTTATTTAGTCAAACCTCACTTTTGCTCAGTCAAATCTAACATTTATTTAGTGACTGAAACCTCACTTTCATTCAATCGAATCTCATTTTGTTTTGTGAATAAACCTCAATAAGCCACCACTTGTGAAGTTTGTGGCTGTTCAATGGGGTTGATTTTAAATTTAAAAAAAAAAATCAAAACGAAGTACTGTATAACATGGAATACAATTATTATTATTCTTGAGAACAATCTTGGTTTTAGAGAACCTCTTTATAGTATGTTATGTGTATGGAAACCCCTTGTGGGACCAAAAAAATTCGTTGCACAGAAAATCAATCTTACAGAGACCTCCATATGCATGGTCTCATATTATACAGGGTTTCTATCAAACAAAAAACTCTCAGGAGCTAATTTTTTCCTGGTTCTTTGAATTTTATTGCAGATGGGATCCCATATAATGGGGGTCTCTTTATAATTAATCATCTGTAAAAATGAATTTATTGGTCTTATAATGGGTCTCCACCCAAAATTTAAAAAGAACATTTATGATTCCATATGAAACAGGTTCTGCACAACAAAATTCTCTGAACAACCAAATTTTTCCTGTCCCTCTGTTTTTTTTCTCCTATTTCAGAGAGTCTGTATAATATGGGCAGAGACCCCTTATTTTGGATCAAAAATTCCTCATACAGGTAATTCATGATACAGATGACCATTTATGACTCCATATTATGCAGGTTCCTTCCAGAATTAAATTTTCTCAACAACACATTTGTTCATATATATGGTCCTTTGAATTTTGATGCAGAGAAACTAAATAATATATGGGGTAGATGTGGAGAACCATTATTAATATTATGGGACCAAATGATCATTCGTTCAACAGAGAATTTATCAAATGCTTGCTTTTTATAAAAAAAAAATTAAGCATGGATTTTTGAACCGTGTCTGTTTCTGCTGCTGCTGCTGCTGTTGATAGCTATGGTCAGCAAATGGCGATGACCTCGGGTCTAGGACTTGCGCAATATCTTCTTCTGCTTCCTCGTGTTCCATCACACGCCAACAACAGCAGCGGGGTTTTATTCATCCTTTCGCGCAAGCGTACTTTTATATATATGGCACAAACGAGATTCGAGCAAGAGATTTCTTTTTTTTTTTTATTTGGAAATTTTTGAAATATTTTTCTTTCGTAATTATATTTTCGTTTTACAAATTTTTTTTTTCAATCGAACATTCTCTGAATCGAGACGAATCATCGTACCTGTTGATATACACGCGGTGCTGCGGCTTTTGCGATGAATGGAGCAGGTCACAGGTCAGGTTAGCTGGCACGACTCGCTGACCTTTTTTTTCTCTTCTCCTTTTGTTCTTTCGTCTCGATTCGCGTTTGACCTTTTTCTTATTCTTTCTTTTATTCTAAGGATATTAGTGTGTAACACTTGTGTGCACTTTCGCGAAGATCGTGTTCTTTTTTTTTGGAAAGGATCGCACAACAATACCGTCTTTTTTCACAGCACGACTGCGCCAGGTTTGGTGGTGGTGGTGGTGGTTCCGAGCCAACCAACAGCCATGACCACACTTATCTGCAATCCGCGATTTTCCCCTTCTGGAATCAATACAGAATCGGTACAATGTACAGTATGGAATCTCGTTATAACCCGAATGATCGCTTGCAACGAAGTCGTTTTTTTTTAGGTCCCTGCTGCCTATAATAGCTGCAATTTTAAATGAGTTGCTTGATAACGAATTTTTCGTTAATACAACGACGCTTTTTAACTTATTTGTTGCGATGGCTTTGTTCTATGACGAGATTTTACTGCATATGTAAATGGAAATGAAGCCCCGTTTTGATGATGAGAATCATCTTTTTTTTTAAGATTGCTTCTCGCCGTTTCTAATCACATTTCGAATTTTTTTATTCATGCAATAAATCTGGACTGGATTGATTGATTGATCTACAAGCTATAATTGTCGCTGTAACAGCGTTTACAAGGCTGGAAAAATCCCCCCCCCCAACACACAAACAGATGCACACATACAATATTTCAAAATAAATTCTGGAATATTTGAAGAAAAAATTATTCACTATATAAATTATATAGGGGCATGAAAAGAAAATACATCACATAGTGCATACATGAATCATATACAAATGCATGAGTTGCCATTTTCTTTTTTGTGTGACAAAAATCACAGAACATATGGCAATGAATGAGAACAGATTACAGCACAAGGTGTTCAGCCTGTTTTTCTCAGATGATTTGTATTTGAATGTAAACAGTTTAGAGAGGATATTTAAGAAGAAATTGTATAAAGGTAGCAGTTTTTCCTGGTCCTTTTCAAATTTGGCAAAGGACCTTTCTATCATTTTATGATAATCATGTGTTGGAAACATTTATTTTTAACACGTTTTTATGAACTTGCTTTCTTGTCTGTTTGTTTGTTTTTAAGGTTATTTTTTGCTTTTTGAAAACGTGGTTGTTTAGATTAATTTTTAATCTACTAAATTTTTTTTGTTTCTGTGGAATGCTGGGCACAAGAGAAGAAGGTGTTCTGGTGATGGACTATATAATAGCCAATATATTTAATTTTCTGTACATACGCCGCTGCATAAGACAAACACTTGAGAATTGAATAAACTTTTTTTGTGGAAATGCCACAAGTTTGTTAAAAGAGCTACACTTCATATGCCAGTCAAGTTATACTGCAGATGTAGTGTAGGGGAATCCCTTTAAGGTTCCCTCAGAGATTATGAAAAGGTTAATTATTCTTGGTTAACCTCTTTATGAACCTGAAAGGGTAAAGACAGTTGAGCCCATTGAACTGAGAAATACTCCTATTTGTTACTGGTGGCAGTGCTGGGAGTAACATAATTTGTTACTCAGGATATAGTTCTCTTTACACACTCAAATCCAGGGATGTTGAACAATTGGTTCTTGGGAGAAATTTGTGGCGTGATAAAGAATGATTTCCTCTATATACTGCATAATTTTTTTGTTCCATGGAGGTTTCCATACCATTATTATGCAAGTTTTTGTCTGCAAGAGAAATTCAGAGAATTGGAAAAATAAATTGATTGTTGAGAGAATTTGGTTGTATATAGAGACTCCTTATGGGACAAACAAAGTTCATTTGTGAAGAGAGTTCAATAAAAGTGTATGTATATTTTCAAAATAAGGGGGTATACTTCATATTACATGAATAACTTTGGTCTGGATAATTTTCCGCAAAATTTGCCCAATTTTTTCTTTAAAATTTTCCTCATTATTTCAATCTAATTCAGAGAAGCTGCTTAATACTGATCAGATCCTGCCTGAATTGGACTAACATTTATTTTTGTTCATCATAACAGCTTACACTGATCTCTTGAATATTTGTCATTGCTTTCTCTGCTGATTTCAATAAACTTCAGGAGCCTTTTAATGGCATTTAAAGTCAGAAAATACTGAGAAAGCATTTTAAGGCTGATCAGACCCAATAAGACATCCTCTTGAAAAAAAGATACATTGATAAAAGCATGGAAAGTCAGAAAATACTGAGTAAAACTTTAGGGTTGATTAGACCCAATAAGACTTGATCTTGAGAAAAAAATGATGCATTGATGATCAATCTGTACTACAACAGATGCCCATAATAAATCAACAGAATTATTTTTGGATGCTCACACAACAGCGTTTGAATTTGAAGAGTAATTCGGATGAGCTCTCTTAACTTTTTTGTAAGTTTCTTCTCATGAAAAATATTCACACTGTATGTGAGATCAAAACGGAAACCCTGTGACAAACACATAAATCCCATTCTTGCCTAACTTGTGTCATTATTTTGGTCCACAACTTTGCGGATGATGGGTTTTCAGCCAACCAGGTGTGAAATTTAATTTTAAAAAAGATTTTAATTCAGCATGCTCTGTTGATTAATTTGCGGTTGTTGGGATACTGGAGGATGATCATCAAATCCTCTGGTTTTGTTGTTTGAAAGTGTGTCTGGAACCTTGGAGGAATTTAAATCAGATTTTTTCTGAATATGAATTTGTGTGAGTAAAAGGGGGTCCAAAAATAAAATTGAATCCGCATAAAACGTGGAATTTTTTCAAGAAATTAATTTATAGAAATTCATGAAATGAAACTTTTTTGAAAGAGTTGAAGGTTGCCAAGAACGTGATCAATTTCAAGTTGTGTTCATGCTGATATTGAAACTGATTCCCTTGAAAGAATTTAAATCAGATTTTTTCTGACTATGATTATGATGTGTGAGTGAAATAAGGGTTCAAAAATATAATTAAATCTCCCTGCAACATGGACACTTTTCAAGAAGTCAATTTAGAAATTCATGAAATGCGAATTTTTTTTCAAGAGTTGACTGTTACAAAGAACTTGATCAATTTTAAATGGTGTTCATGCTTATATTGAAGCTGATTTATTGTGGTTATACTGTATATGCAAATGCCTCCACAGATCATAATGCAATACAGTGATGCACCAAATGATCATGTTATTTTATCTTTGCAAGCATTTCCTTATTCTAACCACATGGTATTGCATAATTTTTCATTTCCTGCAGACCAGCAAATTTCCATGACAATTTTCTGCAGACTGGCAAAGTTGCATAACATTTTTGCAGACTCAAAAAAGTTGTGTTTGAAAGATACTGATGTACAGCTGGTATTTGAAAAGTTTCTGTTTTTTTCAATATGTTGTAGTCATATTAACAACCACAACACCCTTCACTTTACGCACAACCCTTTTAAGCTAATGTATTTCCGCTACGCTTGGCTGCACCTGGTGCGCTAGCGATTATATTTCACAATCCCGTTGTTGACAGAATACTTTCCCAACCGCGCTCACGCTTCCTTCCTTTAAATAAACAAAGCGTGATGTCCCCAATCCAAATCGGTTTCTATGCGCGTTCTTTGACCTCAGCCGGCCAAAGCTATATATACAGGTGCATTTTATGTTGCATTAAGTTTACCGCACCAGACCTTGTCCAAATGCCGAGTCTACGCTGCTTTGCTCTCTGTAGAATTGTTGTATTGACTGTGTGTGAAGATAGAATAAATAAATACTTTAAAAACTCTCATGGAGTAACTTTTGCATTTCCTTTGAAAGTCGCAGAAAACGATTTAAATCTCCGATCCCCTTTTCCTCTAATTATTAAGAAGTAGCTCTCAACAACTGATCATTGTTGATCTCCCACTTCTGTAAAATAGTTTTTGGATAACAATGTATATGTTCAGAAGTCAAATCAAATGGAGTAGCTATTTAGTGGAATCCCTTTTTAAAAAATGTGAAAGGTGGAAAGTTTCTCAGAATGAAAAGATTTGAAATAATTTATTTTAGTGAGTGGAAATTTGTCTGAAGTGTTATTTTAGGAGAAAAGCCAACTTTTATTCTATTTTCATCATATACAGTATTTTCAACTGTCATAATTGTCTTTTCAGATGGAACAGTGAATGAAGGGGAGAAACAAAGTTTTCAAGCTGTCAAATGTGGTGGGAATTTTTTTCAACTGTAAGTAGCTGATTTCACTTCTATAAGCAACTGATTTCATTTCTAAGCAAAACCTTTGTGAGTCTGCAAAAATTGTCAGAAACCTTGCAGGATGACTGCTAAAAATTTTTTTTTTGAATTTGCCAGTCTGCAAAAACATTTTATGGAAATTTGCTGTTTTGCTGGCCGAAAAAAAAAAAGTTGGGGAACTCTGGGTTAAGGATCACTGTCGCATATATACAGTATATTGATGTGATAATAGCGAGAAGAAGATGAAAGGAATTCATTGCATTATTATATATAGTCACACCCGGGGTTTTTATGATGATGAGCGGGACCAGAGTAATATAATAATTTGACAAGGTTGTCGGAGATGACAGCGACACAAGGAAAGGCCGAAGCTGTATATATTACAGGTTACCAGCACTCTCACGTTTTGCCCATCATCGTCATCCGGCTGCCCCCTAACCTAGTTTTTTGACCCTTGGGCATCTCACTATATACTGCCAGAGCACATGTATTGCGAGGAGTGGCCGAGGCTCTTTCTCCTGCTGGTTTGCTGGGGGGAACAAAAAGGCCCGCTTTTTTCTGGTCGAACCCAGTGCTGCTGTGGAATTCTCTCTTTGTGCTGTACTCTGCGATGGGGGGGCAGTCGGAAAGTTTTGATAATTTGATATATGGTCTCATCACAGACGCTATATGCATTATATTGGCAACACTGTCTATTTGATGGTGTGTGTGTGTGTGGCATCTTGATTGTTACAGGCGGACTCTCTAATTTCACAACAGGAATAAAGGGAACCAGAGAAAAGACATTGTGTCTAGAGGGATTTTCTTTGGGGTCATTCAGTAAGTTTTGACTTTGAAGTAGTATTAGAGGATATCCGTTGGTAACATGTTCCTCATTGTGAGGAAAAGATGGACAGATATGTTTCTTTTACCACACAAAAGGTGAAAAGGTGAAGTACAGTGAGACCCCCACATGCGGACGCCTCAACATGGGGACAATTCGACCTGGGGACATTTATTTTTTAGGAAAAAAATCATAAAAAAGACCCGACATGAGGGCATTGACTCAGCCTGGGGACATTGCAAGAAAAAATTCCAAAATAAATTTTAGGAAAATTGATTTT